GGCTTTGGATCCGGCGTAATACCTTCATATACCCAATATATAGGCCTCCCATACAATTGATTGAGACGAGCCAATCAAATCAAACAAATCAACTTTGGACCGAAGGCCCATCAAACAAATCAACTTTTACCTCAAAGTTGATTTGATTGATTTATGATGAGCGCTGTCTGCCTGGTAAACATACCCGCCTGTTGTACGATCAATTATCATGGAAAGAGGCCAGCGTGCTGGCACAACTGAGAACCGGAATGGCGCGACTGAACGGTTACCTATATCAGATCAGGGCAGCACCGACGGATGAATGTCCGTGCGGGCGGGCAAAGGAAACGGTAGAGCATTTCCTCTTTCGATGCGTGAAATGGACGACACAACGCAAAGAGATGTTTCAGAGTATAAATGAGAAACGCGGCAACCTCTCCTTTCATCTGGGAGGTAAGGCAGCATCAGACGGTCAGGAATGGAAGCCAGACATGGACGCGGTGCGGGCCACGATCAGGTTCGCGATCGCTACAGGTCGCTTGGAACGGAGATGACGGGAACACTACTAACCTAGTAACATTTTATCAACACTAACCGATAACCTATGACGCCCTCAAATAATCAACAGCAGGCATTGCTTCAGCCGCCGAAGATAGGAAACTGAACACTTGGAGGGATTGGGCTTCAAGTTGACCTGCTACTACTAACAATCACGAGGGCCAAGAAGAAAAGCAACGACTAGACTGGAAGGAACAAGGCGAGAATTGTATGGGCTTGGCGAGAGCAAGGCAATAACTAGCGAAGTGTATGTACCTTTAGCTTCAGAGCCCATTGGGCGTTGGCCTACCGGGCGTAATAGACTTGTATTGTATTGGTCCGTGCGCCCTCTCCAACTTCCCAGGACCCCTGGCACCGATTCCCTGTTACCGCAAATAGGAAGCATCTTTCATGTTGCAAAAGGATGCGCCGGAAACTCAATTGTAATGAATATAATTTGGGAGTTTTAGCGCCGTGCCTCCTATTCACATAATCTTATCAGACCTAAAAACCACATGCCGGCAGTCATTCCACTTGGCGTCCTTGATCAACGCTTTCTTACCTGCCGTATCCTGTTGCTGACGGAACCGGCCACAAAACAAACAAGGGACAATGTCTGAAGTTACAGTACTTTCACAGTTCAACCTCTCTACCGACCCTCATGCTCAAGTGCTCATATGCTGCCATGACACATGCCGCATCGCCCTTCTCCCCAGTCCTGCCCAAGTCAGCGAGCATCTCCGAAAGAAGCATAACATACCTGCTGCTGAGCGACGTCTGGTAACCGATCTCTTGAAGGCCCGTATATTGCCACTAGGTTGCTTCCTAAGCTCCCTCGTCACCTCGTCAACACTATGGTAATATACCTTCATCGACAATTTCGTCCACAAGTTCCAGTTGCAGGCACTCACGGAAAGTAGCTCTATCTCGCAAAGTACCACCCTAGCCAAGGGCGAACAAGATGATATAGAGCCTAAGAACCTTCTTTCCTCCATGAAAACATACCTCAGTTCGCTTAGACGTTCTATTTGGACCCAGGCGCGGCCGACATCAACAAATGCTAACAAATTTGTTGAAACGAAAAAGCTCCTCAAAAGCCCTCAGTAAGTCTATCCGATCTATTCACCGTCTACAATCGGGCCTAATCGACTTATAATGGCATATATTTGGCGAATAATATAGGTAATGGAACGACACGGTATGTCTTAATAAGCCATGTTTGTGACCGATTTACGAAATTCGTTCGCAAGTACTATAAGGATCACTACTATTTTTCCCTTACCGCTGCTCAATCTGACTTAAACCACCATCCCTCGGCAAGTAAGATATTCCGCCATTAGTACATTTAGAAAACAGCAAGTCCTTCTATAACAAATGCGAAGATGAAGTTTACTCCAGGTTCTCCAGAAGACTTGAACTTAATGCAGGCTGTCGAAGTATAGACGCTAAACATTACGAACGACAAAATGACACGGTAACAGTGCATTTCGGACAAGGTCTATTTTAACCAATATTGTTCCTACGATTGTGATTGACGAACAGCCCTTTGGATGACTCGTTTAGCATGATTTATCTGCTTCCAGAGAAACAGTCAATGGCGAGGTACTTTGGTAGCAAGGATCCGTGCAATTCGTCCTCGGCCAATCACGGGTCCAGATTTGAGGGCAAGCGCTCTTCAATGGAGACATAGAGCATCAAGTAAGCAGCACATGCAGCGACATGCGACGGGATCAGATATATACCCACTTTACAAACAACAAGAAACAACATAAGTAACCGAAAAAGTTTGTGTCTATCTCTCAACGTGCCAATCTGCTTTTATGTTCTATACTGAAACGAAGAAGACCCACATAGAGTATCTCGCCAGTATATGAATGATTGGCTAACCCGGTCGGTTACATAAGTGACCACGGACACCTAGCGCATCATTATTCTTCCGCGCCATTGCCTAAACATTCGCGCGTCATGTCATCTTGGAACTTGACCAAAACAACAAATGACAGTGCAATCGACATCAACCATCTGATGCCCCAACCTTCTTCTTTCCGCAGCCCCAGTCATGGAAAATGGACGTGAGGCATCTGGAGAGCTACCATCTCTAGAAACAGGACCCCAGCAACAATACTTCAAGTCGCCTCGGAAAGTCACTCCGCCAGAGCGCAACGCCCTTCCTTCACCTCCCGCGACGATCGAGGTTGAACGCATTCGAAACCCTCCGAATCTACCACAGCGTCTTCTTGACTTTAAGCGCAAAGCTGAGACTTGCGACGTCGCGCCTCTGACTTACATTCCCTTAAGCCCGGCAGAGTACGCCAGCGCCTGCGAGCAGATTGATTCTGCATTTAAACGATTCGACTACGATCCCAAACGAGGTCTTATTATCTTGCGCATGACTTCTCCAACCCACGACACATTCGTTTACTCTCTAAGTAGATCTATAGATCAGGAAATTCAGAGAGTTGGACGTGATAACAGTCAAGTTCGTGGATTTACCTCCCAGATTGAAGGCGGCGGCTCTTCCCGTATTTACCTTGGCGACAAGGAGAAGCAAGACAAGATACCGAAATGTCTGCGTCGCCAACCAGATGGTCAATTTAGGCTCGAGGGAGCTGAGTTTCCTGGCGTAGTTATTGAAGTGTCATACTCGCAGGACGGAAAGCAACTGTCCAAGCTCGCCAAGCAGTATATTAACTACTCGGAGGGAAACATCAAAGTTGTCATCTGCGTTGACATCAACTATGGGAATACTCAGTCCACTCTCTCACTGTGGAAATCCCAATTCAACCCGGACCCGGAAAGTAATGACCCTGACGACTACATATTGGATTACGAGCAAGCCATCGAAGCACAGGTCTGTTGTACCCTCAGCACTGGTTTAGAAGAACATCAGCTGACTTTTCTACCATAGCCTTTCCGGACAGCCGATGGAAAGCCGTTAAATCCTGAGAGCACTTTGACTCTATATCTTCACGACTTCGCTCCAGATCAATCGTGTCAAGACATTCCAAATATCCCCATATCCATCTCTTTTGCCAAGATCTGCGAGTTCTTGGATCGTGCTGAGAAGGGGCAGAAGGACAGAGAGTCCAAAGATGCTAGAGGTATCCGGTCAACTCGCAAGGTGAGAAAACGCAAAGTGTCATCCAGCTCGCTTGAGGAGTTGGCCTTGGATGATGAGGAGAGGTTTAAAAAGCAGGAAAATGCGGTTGATACCAGGGCTAATCATCACGATGATGACTTTAAACCGCGGTTAGGTGATGTCAATGTCACTTATCGCGATCATGACTTGAGACCGCGAGCGGCGAAGCGGCGTGCCTAGTGGGTATCGCCTCTTCCGCTGTTTTCTTAGAGGAATATTGGGAGTATGGAGTTGGACATGCAAGAAAAATAAATGATGCCCTACTCAAGAATTATCGCCAGAAACGCATTGCGTTTCCTGTTTTTGACCAATTACCATCTAGCATTTTCGCCCCATATTTCCCCCGACGGAAACGCACTGCGTTTCTCGTACCGCACTAACGAAATCAGAAAACCTAAAAATTGAAACGCGTCGCGTTTCCGTCGGCTGACCCTTGTCAAGTTCAACAACTTGACTACTCCAGACCTAAATAACAATATTCATTACCATCAACATCATCAATTAACCGACTCAAACTAGACACTGTATGTGATGTAAAACTTATTATTAATACTAGATAAAAGCATACAATTCTACACCCCGTGATGTCCCTTGTGTATGAAGCCATCGGGTCAGTCGAAATTGCCGTTGCGAGTTTCGCGGTCATTGCGCTAGCCTATCTGGGCCTTAGCTCTCCAAGCTTCTAGCAAATCAGAATTTAGCGGTCATATACTAACTTCATTAGAATTTAGCGGTCAAGTACTAGCCTAATCAGGATTTCGCTGTCAACCCAGGGGCTAGCTCATCTCATCAAGCTGTAGGAGCTTCGAAACAGCCCAAATCAATCACAACTAACGTGGTTGATAAGCGAGTGAGTCAGACAAGCAAGTGAGTCAGCTTAACCTATACCTTAAAAGCTACTTTTAAAAAGCCTATATAAAATTCAAGCTAAGCCTAAAATAGCTAGAATTAAGGTATTATATATTTAACTATGTAAAAAAGCTTCTTACTAAATTAAAGAATTGTACTTAATTTATTATATAAGTAAAATAAAAAAAAGCTTATTTACACTACTTACACTGTGTAAATAAGCTTTTCTATATAAAATAAAATAGCTAAAAATTTAAAAAAAAATATTTCTATAAATAAATAGCTACATATTATGTAAAAACAGTTTTTCTAGATTCTTAGCTATTTTATTTAAGGTAGCTAGGCACTATAGGGTAGGCTATTTTTAGCTGTACAGTGCGCTGACTCACTCGCTTATCAACCACGTTATACTTTATCTTGATAACTATGCCCGAAGCACCTAAAAAGCGCGGGCGACCACGGAAATACCCTATATCAGAGGAGAAAACAAAGCAAGATGTCATTGCTAAACGCGCCCGACGACGGCTTCGGAACTCCTCGGTGCATGGAAATATCCGATGTCGAGCCGATTCTCCGCACTCTCTTCAATATCCTCATCCCCGGTGACAAGCTGACATTGCTGCGTCATATTTTCCCTAGGCGCTTCCTACCAACAAGTTCATACTTTATGCAGCTAACAGTTGTAAATATGCACTGACGATATGCTCTCCTGATTGGTTCAGCGGTTGAAACAACAGGGATGTAAGCGCTGGTGAAATAACTGCCTGCGCTGCCTAATATCGCAGGACAATTACCCCGCCCTCCTGCGACAAACTTACACTGTTCAAGTTCATTTCATCTAGAATGAAGGATAGCATCATGGTCATGCGTCAATCCAAGGACGAGACAAATCAAACGCAAGACCTGGGCGAATCCTGGTCTCCGTATAAGCCTCTGAGCCAACATCGAGATTGCACGCGGCTGTTGCGAATCGAAGCAGCTAAGGATGGTGATCCCATCACCTGCAGCTTGTTCGAAGTCATCTTCGGTGACAGGCCCAAGTTTGACGCGCTCTCATACATGTGGGGAGATGGTCAAGCTGGGCAAACTATTACCCTCAATGGCGTCGGCTTCAACGTCCGGCAAAACCTTTGGGACGCTTTGCACTACCTCCGGAAACACGCTCCTGACACTGATTACTGGATTGACGCAATATGCATCAACCAGAAAGACATACCCGAACGGAATAGACAGGTCCGTATGATGCACCATATCTACTTCAGAGCTCAGACCGTTGTCGTATGGCTGGGAAAGAGATATGCGGAATACGAAGCAGCTTTGCCTGACTTGCAAAGACTTGGCCATGATAAACCTTCCAATGAACAAGTCAATCCGGAATTGCCAACAGATTCACCCCGAACCGACTCTGCTGAACGCAGCTTCGCAGAGAAGTTGTACAATGACGACTATTGGAAGCGCCTGTGGATAATCCAGGAGATTGGGCTAGCCCAGAAGATTAAAGTATGCTTTGGAGACTCGGCGGCAGAATGGAAACAGTTTACGCAGTTCATCACCATGCACAACTTTGGATCTAAAGGCCCTATAAGGTTGGAACGGCAGCGAGAGGAGAAATATACCGGGTCAAACACCTTACTTCAGCTACTGCAGGACCATAAAGAAGCAGATTGCCAAGACAGGAAAGATAAGGTATATGGCCTTGTAGGAATGGCTTCAGACGCCCGCGGCTTTTCTATCGATTATAATAAGTCGGTCTTTGAGATTTGGACTGACGTGATGGAATTTATGAATCGACACAGCCTATTTTTTGACAGGGATATCATATCCATCGGGCACCTCGTTAAGTTTCTACTCATGGGGGCGGAATGCGACCCCTTGCAACAGATCCTGCGGCCATACGCACCTAGAGATGGAGACGACACAATCATCACAGACACGAACCACTACAAAGCATTTGAGCTGCAAGGTGCGGTGCTAGGGTGTGTCATATGTGTTGGTCCGCGTCCCCTCGAAATCGTTGGAAATCTTAAAGCGGTGGATACGTGGATAGAACAAGTTCAAGAGAACTATAGGAATGATCTTGGTAATGCCCACAGAGAGAGCGATACAATGATTCATACAATTATAGAACTTGATGATATCAGCCTGTCAAAGAAATGCTTTGACTGCAGGAGCATTGTACAATGGCGAGAAGGAGATTACAGCTTTTTGGAAAACAGCAACCACACCGGGAACACAACATCAGGCTGGATTCGACGATTGCAAAGCAAGTCTCATGGTCTGGCTGAGAAGGACCCTTCACCTGCAGCACAGTCTTCTGACAATAATTCACGTCTGTTTCAAATGTCTGCTCAATATCAGGCACCCTGGAAACTGGGTCTTTCATCCAGCGATGTACGCGTTGGAGATCTCGTTTGCTGGCTCGGGTGGCCGCGAAGAGCCATCATAGTGCGAGCATACGATGAGACGTATCGGTGGAAGTTGCAGGTAGTGGGCACGGCAGTTGTCGCTGAAGATTTGAGAGAGCCGCGTCTGGACTGTTTTCAACGCCCAGACTGGTCTGAGAACAAGTTGAAACTGAGTATTTTCCTGGACGCAAGGACCATTTTCGTTCTTCTGGTTGAGTGAAGAAAGGGTAAGAAGTAAGTTTATTAATTCCTATCTCGATAAACATTATAGAGAGATAACTTAGACTAAATGCCGGTTCCATTCAAGGACGAGAGCGAGTGGAATACGGCAGCCGCGGCTGTTGAGTATATTATTTGGGGAAAGGTGCGTATTTGTTCGCATTACTCCCATCGCTATGGCTTGTTTGTTTGTCAACCTATCTCATGAGAGAGGATTTTGCTATTAACAAGAAGATTAGGACATGGTTTGGCAAACGCTCGCGGTTAGCATCCTTTGTTCACATAGATGTTGATGGAAAATCCGGGGATCCTACTGTACCAATTACCCTCCATATCAGGTCCTGATACACGAAATTGTGGCCCGTGCACGCAACGCAACGGCAGATCAGATGGTTTAATAACAGTGTCTTTTCAACACTAAAAGCTGATTTTAGGTATCGCCCCAGACGTATTAACCAGATAGGCGAATAGAGGAACAATGTTGAAATTGATAATCTTTTCTCTAATATGCTACGTTTGAAAAACACCATTGAGGTCTCTTCGGCATCAATGCATGGTGGCTGAATGCGGAAGGCCGACTGCCCAACGTCAGGCTGCAACGTCGGAAGCCCAATCTAGTGAGACGAGGAAATTATCACCAGTCAACTTCGTGGCAATATTATAGAAAGCAACTTATCTCATACTTTCTGATGTATTAAACTTCACTCCTTGGATATGAAGCTTGCATCAATGACTTGAAAGAATTCATACTACAACATACTATTATCCCCTCTGCCTTCTTGAACGGATCATCGCTCAGCAGCATTCATTCTCGTCATGAGCCAGCAGCCTCTCTCTCACCCCCCTCAAGATGAGGGCGAGGAAGATGGCCGTTCAGTTGTATCCATCAGATACAAGAATTAACTCAAACAACTACTTCGAGACCTCAACGAGCTCCCCACGAAAATCTCATTCAATCTATCTTGACGCATCAGGTATCGGAAACGATAGATTCAAGTTGAAAAGGACTTTTACGGGTCTCGATTGGGCGGGCCATTACCCCTGTTACATTGTCCTCTTTCACTTGAAAAAGCACAATGTAACAGCCGCAGCTCCACTTTAGTCACAGAGCGGGCGCTTCATAGCCTGATTGGTTTTTTGCTTCCAACTCTGTATGATTTTTGCTTTTCTAGCCCTATGTAAAAAGAGCGGCGGGTAAGCCTGCCTGGCTAAGGCATCGGTTAAGATTTCATGTAACCGATCAGCTGACCCCAGCCACTAAGCTATCGTCATCTTAATGGGATTAGCCTTGTTAATGCTTCTAGATCCACGGAGCCGATTATTTTTAAAGAGACTACGAGGGCACCAGGCATCTAATTATATATTGCGAAACAGACGGCCAAAAAACAAAAATGAAGCAAGCCTGAAGACATGAAAACATATGTTTAGCACGGTGACTCACTTCGTTGCACGGGCGGGACGAAGATGCGAAACAAACACCAAGCCACAGATGCGCTTGGGCCCTCTCGTGACTGGCTTAGTTAATTGAAACTATTCCAACCTACTATTTCGAATACATTCTATTGGCATCAATAACAGCTTGGTAACGGGCTTATATTGAAGCCAGAAGGCCATGGAAGAAGTCAGCGGGATGGATTTCCAAGCCTCTTTGATTGTCTCGTGTAACGTATCGTACAACATCTCCGGTGAGTGCTTAGCGATAATAGTCCTTCGTCAAGGTCCAAGCTATCTCAATATGATCTAAATCGAGTGAAGAGGGAAGCAGTTTAATAACCTTCATACTATGCCTGAGATTGTCAATACCGTCCTTCTCCAGCAAGACGCTCGCGAGGAATTATTGACGTTATGTATCGAAACGTTAAGGTTTTGTGGCTGTGCAAAAGCCACGTAGAGATGACAATCGCTTTTACGCAGCCTGATTCCAGCTCTGCCCCCTCATCATCTCTTCTTCGTGCACCGTGAACCCACAAACCAAACGACCGTCTCACAGTATATCAGGGCAGCGTTACCCTTTACTTTACCGCATAGTCGGATTAATTGAGTTGATTGTGGTGTGCAGAGCCGAAAAGCCGTTTCATTGATCAGCGCAGGCAGCCTAGACCTGTGCTGAAGAGGGGTAACTGAAACTCAACGGAGCCCCGTCATGTCTGGCTTCCTGACGGTACAATGGAAGTTGTAAGAGCTCCGATTCCGAGCGGCGCACCTGCCGGTCCTCGAAAATCACTGGAAGATGCAATTGAGGACTTCCAGGCCATATTGACAGATGATCAGCGGCGAAAACTCGGTAGTATCGGTGCCATCCAAGATCCAGACACTGTCATGATATTTACCGCTCAGCTGGATCGTGATAACCAGTTGAAGAAAGGTCGCGGCATTGCCTCCCGGCTCTCTTCCGTTCTTCAATCTGTCCAGACGTTCTCCACTGTGGTTGACACCTTCGTTGCGTCCCATCCGGAAATTGCCGCCTTAGTCTGGGGAAGCATCAAGCTTGCCATGCTTGTAAGTGATCCGTCCTTGCACTTATAACTTTTGACTGATTGCTGCAGATAGCGGTGAACTACACGTCGTACTTTGAGGCACTCTCTGTTTTGTTTATGGAATTGAGCAAACAATGCCCGCGCTTTGCTGAATACCAAGCCCTCTACACGACGTCCACGCGACTCCAGAAGGCACTTTGCGATTTCCACGCCTCAATCATTCGCTGCTGCAAGCATGTGGTGGAAGCCGTTCAAAGACCTTGTTTGTCATTTCTTACCATCGTTGTCCGAAGAGCAATTGCTTACCTGTCGTAGGGCAGAAACAGCTGAGGATCGCCTTCTTCCAGTCCTTCGAGCAAGAGTTCGAACCAGACGCGAATGACATCCAGAGACTGGGAAAGGAGGTGGAGGACGAGATAAAACTGGCAAAAGCACAGACCGATCGCCAGGACCAGATGCTTCAGGAGAAAGAAAGAGTGGATGCGTTAAAGCAGAGATCGAGGCTAAGGAAATTCATTCCGAAGGTCGAGAGACAATTGGACTCAATAAAGGAGTTGCAGATACAACGATCCACACGCCGATCTAGTCAGAGTTCCCCATCGCGATAGTTGAACTAATGCTGACCTGCTTGCAGTGAAAGAGAGACAGCGACTTCTCAAGTCTCTCTCCTCACATGATTACGTGACTCCGTTCCAGGAAGCTCGAAAAAAGCACCAATATAGTACAGCGGAATGGATATTTACTACTCCCGAATTTACTCGATGGTATGACGGAACGGGACCGGTCCTGCTCTGGTGTTCTGGGAAGAGTATGCCACACAATAGTTCTCAGCGGACCGTGCTAATATAAGACAGTCGGGTCAGGAAAGACGATTTTATGGTAAACTAAGTGCCTTGTTCCTGATTATTCCCACTCAAATGCTAACGCCATTAAGCGCCAATGTCATCAACCATGTCCTCATAAAAAAGAGCCGCGATGACCGCGCCGCGTTCTTCTTTTTGCAGTATGATAACTCGGACTCCCTGACGGCGGAAACGATAATTCGATCGATCATCCGACAATCCATGGACGCCATCACGGTGCCGGAGCACGTCGAATATCAATTGCAGGAACTAGACCGGAAGCATTTTGTTCAGCTTCAAGACTGGGCATTCCTTCTCCGGCAAAGAATCGAGCATTCAGGCATATTTTTCGTCTTCATTGACGGCCTTGACGAATGTAGTACCGCTGAGCGACGGGCCCTCCTTGACGTGTTATCATCGCTTGCTACTACTACCTTAGGCTTGAGGATATTCATTGCAAGTCGTGATAGCGTCTATGTAGACCTGAAGGGCAGGTTCTCGCACATGGAGCACGTGTCAATGGCACCTGTTAATCTCTCTTCGGACATCCGTATCTATGTTGAGGCGACTGTCCAAGAGCGGATGCGAGATGAAGACCTAGTGTGCGAAGATCCCCATCTCCTGAACGAAATCAGAGATACCCTAACTCGTCACGCTGACGGGATGTGAGTGACTTCTATTTAGCCTTGAAGGAAACAAAAACTCACTCTCCAAGGTTTCTCTGGGTTACATTTCTAATAAACGAGGTATGCATCGCAAGCTGCGACCACGACATCAGACAGTCTCTACGCAGTCTTCCTAAAGATTTAGAAGAGACTTTTTCCCGGGCACTGTCACGTATCCTATCTCGGCAAAAGAAGCCCGAATTGGTCCAGAAAGTATTTCGGTGGGTGGCGGTAGCAAAACGGCCCCTGACACTCGATGAGATTCGTGAAGCCATCTCCATCTCCGTTGGACAGCCGTACTTGAACACTGAGCGGCGAGTTCGCGAAATGAGCCCTATCATCTTGTGGTGCGAAAATCTCCTTCAGGTTACCGAAGAGAAGCCTCAATCGCTTCAGTTCGCTCACAGCTCCATCCGTGACTTTATAACCAGGGGAGACTTGCCGATTCAGCTTTCCGATTTTCACGTTGACTTGGAGGCGGCAGATCATTTCGCTGGTGAGATATGTGTTACATACCTTCACCTCAATAACTTCAAGACGACTTTGGCCCGACGATCACAGTCACTCCGAGTAAACCCTGTGGCTATGGCTGGTACTGCTCTTGGCCGAGGGACAAAGGCCACTGAGCTAACGACGCGCTTTGCAGATATTCTTGGGTATCCAAAGGGCAAAGGAAATCCGGATCTTGCTGGAACCCTTGTCGGTTACGACAGAGCTGATGGTTTGGAAAAACTTCAACAGAACTATCCATTCCTCAAGTACGCTTCGAAGCATTGGGTTTCCCACACTGCCAACTTTCAAAAGGCAAGGTCCAGTTCTTGGAACTTGTGGTATCACATTATCACGAATGGTCACGTTCTAGCGCACGTACCCTGGCAAGAATCAATACTTCACCGAAACGAAGAAACAATTCTCATCTGGAGTCACCAAAGGCATCATTATGCTATCTTGCGCTATGCTAATAGTTTTCCGGGATTACCTGAGCTTAAGAGGATTGAGCTAATGAGGACGTCAGCATCTGAAGGTGATGACGAAGCCATTGCAATTTTCCTAGATGCTGAGTGTACAATGCTCTGCATCGACAAGACGCTCCACGCGGCCTCAGGAAGTGGCCATATCCAGGTTGTTGAGCGACTTCTCGAGGCTGGAGCCCATGTCAATACTGCTACTGCTACTGCTGGAGGACGAACAGCGCTTCAGGCGGCATCAGAAGGTGGCCATATCCAGGTTGTTGAGCGACTTCTCTACGCAGGAGCTGATGTTAAAGCTGCCCCTGCTGCTTTTACTGAAGGACGAACAGCGCTTCAGGCGGCATCAGCAGGTGGCCATATCCAGGTTGTTGAGCGACTTCTCCACGCTGGAGCTAAAGTCAATGCTGCTGCTGCTGATAACGGTGGACGAACAGCGCTTCAGGTGGCATCAGAAGGTGGCCATATCCAGGTTGTCGAGCGACTTCTTGACGCCGGAGCCGATTTTAATGCTGCTGCTAATAAACATAGAGGACGAACAGCGCTTCAGGCGGCATCAGCAGGCGGCCATATTCAGGTTATCGAGCGACTTCTCCACGCTGGAGTTGATGTCAATGCTGCTACTACTACTGCTGGAGGACGAACAGCGCTTGAGGCGGCGTCAGAAGGTGGCCATATCCAGGTTGTTGAGCGACTTCTCGACGTCGGAGCTGATGTCAATGCTGCTACTACTACTGCTGGAGGACGAACAGCGCTTGAGGCGGCATCAGCAGGTGGCCATATCCAGGTTATCGAGCGACTACTCGAGGCTGGAGCTAAAGCCAATGCTGCTGCTACTTATGGGGGACGAACAGCGCTCCAGGCGGCATCAGAAGGTGGCCATATCCAGGTTGCGAAGCGACTTCTTAAAGCCGGAGCGAAGTAAACTCAGTCGAAGGGAACTAAATCACAGCTGTTTCGGTGCTATTAGAGCCTGATATGCCTACTGTACGCAGGTTGAACTAAATCCCGTCCCATTGTCTGTTGAAAAACCGGGAGTCCCCCCTATCTTTAGGATTCAGACTGTTAGTCTGAAAGTTCTAGATTTAAAGTTCAAAGTCCTAGATGAAATCAACTAGAGATATAAACCGGAGAAGAACTCTCATCTCAGCAATGAACTTTCATATGGGGATATGGATGTTAGGGTTGATACGCGAGTTCTGAGAACAAAAACTTGTCAAAATGGGTCAGAACCCAGACATATAATCCAGTAGGCAAATTCGACTTTGGGTTCAAAGCCACCAGCACACTTTTCGGCTAAATTAAATTACAGGCCCCTTTCTAAGGCGTGAATTAGCATTCCGAGCCAAATTTATTTAATTTTGATTAATATTGTAGTCGTGGCATGTCATCCAATATAGCGAAGATTGGACTCTCGATCGAGCGTCACATTTCCTATTACGGAATAGTGAAGTTTGTCTGTCAAGCGTTACATTTCCTATTATGGATTAGTACATTTCATCAGTCAGCTTAGTCATGCTTGCAGTGTCACATGCCAATGCTCAACCTAACAGTAATTTAAGAACCCACAGTGGTTGATAAGCGAGCCGATTAGCTTAAGCTACATTTGAGAAGCAATTATTTGAAAACTTATATAAAGCCGAGATACGCTTAAAATAGCTAAAATGTGAAAGTTGTACTATCATCAGAAAAGCCTATCTTTCATTTATGCTGCCCCAAATTAAACTATCAGCCATTTACTTACAATCCAAGAATAAAGCTAATAGTATGCGGGCGGTCAAGTCGCTTAATAAAGATAAATTGGTACCAAAATGAATCGTATAGGGTAGCAAAAACAAGGCGCGTTTCGACAAATCAGTGACGTATTACATCGCCCAAAATAGCTAGCGCCAGCTTGATAACGCGTCACTCGGTACGCTTCCAGGTATGGAATTTTCATGACTGGCTCCTCGCACCCGCACTATCTTGAAATAAAGGGTCTTAATCACCAAATACCGCTTATCTCACTTATCAGGGCCACTCAGGAGAGTTATACGATAAGAGCAGAAATGAAGGTTCGATTTGTTGGCACAAAGAAACAGGACAGCGCTACGCTACGTCGACGCGTTCTGCAAGTGAATCGTATAAGGAAATACCGGAAGCGCCAGAGGGCAAGGAAGGAGGCTGCCACGATAAACCATTAGGGCGAACTATTGTCAGATATAGTTGATACGGTGACAGAGAACGAAGCACTAGGGCCTGAGAGAGATTCAACCCTACTGTACCAATTACCACGGGTAATGGGCCCAATACCAACTTTTGCGGCCCGTGCACCTTCCCCTTTTGGATCTTTAGGAGTTTGGGTCAATACAAGAATATTTGGTCCGTGCCCTCTCTCCAACTACCCAGGATCCCAGCGCTGATTCCCTGTCAACGCGAATAAAAAGCACCTTTCGTATGGGAAAGGGTGCGCCGGAAACTCAATTGTAATGAATGCAATTTGGGAGCTTTGGCGCCATGTCTCCTATTTCCATGGTCTCATGAGACCTCAAAACCCGATGCCGGCATCCATTCCACTTGGTGTCCTTCGTCAAAGCTTTTTTCGCCTGCATCATCCTCTTACTGACGGAATCGGTCACGAGACAAACAGGGCACCATGTCCGACGATGCAGTGTTTTCACGGGTCAATCTCTCCATTGACGTCCATGCTCGAGTGCTCATATGTTGCCACGACATATGCCGCGTTGCCCTTTCTCCCAGCCCTGCTCAAGTCAGTCAGCATCTCCGAACGAAGCATAACATACCTGCTGCTGAGCGACGTCTGGTGACCGATCTTTTGAAGGCTCACACCTCACCACTACAGAACCCTTCTGAAGCTCCCGTACGACAAGATGGCTCATCCCCAGACCCGAACCTACATCTCGTCCACGGGTTTACGTGCAAGTTCTGCATTGAACGTACGGGCAGCTCCCAGGTCATGTCTCGTCACATAACTTCGGCGCACGAGAAGCAAAGACTCCAGCTAGGAGTGCGAAGGAACGCCATGTATGAACCCGTGTTCCTGCAAGCGTGGACTAAAAGTCCTTCGGGGGACGTTACTGGATTGTCGAATATGGCGGGTCTATGACCAGACCAGTCGGAGGCAAGGAAGTTTACGACCATCTTGAAGATATTTTCGAGCGTGAGAGAGGCCGACAGAAAGGCTTTTCAGGTGGGGACTTGGCGAACGGGGCTGGTACTACTAGGAGCTCACAAACCACAACATTCACAGATCTCAGACCATGGCTAGAGAGAACCGGCTGGGAACGGACTTTTGGGGGAATCGACCGAGAACTGCTAAAAAACCTAACTACCGCGCCCTCTCCTGTGACTTCACACCGGGGCCTGATACTGAAAGAGAGTAGTAATCGATCTAGCGATGTTTATTCCGATGAATGGATGATAAGCTCGGCGGATGACGAACGCAAAATCACTGCTCTCCTTGCCGCCGTGGACATGCTAATGGACCGCTGCGAGCAAACGGCACGGACAACAAGCAGAAGTCTTCTATGTTGGTTGCGTAGTGTACGCCCTCACGGGTGCTATGCGAAGCCATTCACATTTGTGGGAAAGGCGGCAAGTAGAAGGAAATATATCCGTGTCCTCAAGCGCTTCGTCGCTTTGGTCTTTCGAGCTTATCGCCTACCTGCGGACATTCGACAGCGCCGGGCGGGCATCCGTTTCAAGAAGTCACAGCTTCGTTTGATATCAACACTGTGGAACCATGAGGCTTGGACCCAGCATGATGCTTTAACCGAGCAGCTCTGGCGAAGTATCAAGCTATCTGATGGGGCCGATGTTGAAGTTGACTGCGATGTAGAGAGCACCGATGGAGAGGATGATTGTGAAGACGGAGACGACAGCGACGATCAGAGTAGTGTCATGGGTGCTGACGACTCTGAGACCGACGATATGGATGATGAAGATGAGGAGAGTGAAGAGGAAGATCACAACCGGAACGAGGATCAGAGCGGGAAAACTAACGCGATGAGGAATTCAGGCGGGGGAAAATTCCCACCATGGATCAAAGAGGTGCTAGAATTCCTATTTGGGCTAATCATGGCATTCTGCACGGAGGAAGTCATGGATGGTCGCCCAGATTCAACGCTGCTAGTGTATTATAGCGGTGTCCTTGGATTCTCGGCTGATCTCACTGGTTTTCTTCCTGCCAGGTCATACACGTCTAACCTCGCCGCGCTGATATACATACAACGCCTTCTCTTCCTCGAGTACGCTGTACCAACGCAGGACTACCCTCGTCTTGGAATTTCGAGACGCCCTCGGACAAATCAGCTCGCACGCCTGCAGAATGTTCGTCAGGAATACCTAGTCCTCGGATCACAGTCACCATTCGAGGAGTTATTCTCCCTACTCGCATTTGGAAGGGCAATAGCAGGCTCAGAAACACCTGCCTTCCTCCTCAAATGGAGCGATGACGGTCAGGTTGTGTCATACAGAGACGACATTGCGGTTCACATGGAAAAGTTCCGACGTCTCCCGAAGGTGCTTTTGGCGCGCGCGGAGGCTCTTTGTGAGCTATTGATGTATGGGTGGAAACCTCCATGCGATCTCGCCTCCGTCAAAGACGATATGGCAAATACGACACACGAATTTTCATTCGTTAGTCACCCGAAGAACGGGCTGGCAGAGGCTTATTTGGAACTAACCTTGAAAGCTTGCACCAGCCAAGCGGACTCCCTTTCCCGCAAAGGGCGATGGAACCAGAAGGCGATATTCGAATACCTGAAGAAGGAAGAAGCATTGCGCGAGAACCTGGCAGGTCTGATGCTCATGACGTGCGGAGGTCAGCCCCGTTCACCAGACCTGCTCAGTGTCCGAGTGAGTAATCACAGGACTAGCGAGCGTGGCCTTTACATATACAACGGCTATATGATCTATGTCACCCGTAGTCACAAAGCAAAGCGCTCAACCAATAGGGAATTCGTTGTTGCTCGGTTCTTCCCTTCCCAGGTCGGTCACTTGATGTATACATACCTTGTATATATTCGTCCTTTCGTGGATATGCTTGCTCGAGAGCAATTGCCGAATATCGATGGCTGTTCCCCTTTTTTCTTCCGGAGCCGGCCCGAGTCTGACAGCCCCCATTGGTCCACTGAACGCCTCACCAAGATAGTGAGACGCTTCACACGACAGGTTTGGGACCAAGGGATTAAGCTGCGCCTCTTACGACAGATCTGTATTGGGATCGCTGATAAGCACGTCCGTGAGGTGAGCCGTCCTTTTAACCGGTTTGATGACCGGACGGATAATGCGGATCGAGGAGTTGTATTCGCCTGGTCGAGCGGCCACCGCCCACTACAGCGAGCGAGGACATACGGGCTTGATGGGGCCTTCCCGACGCATCTACAGCCTCAGTTACTTGAGCGTTACGAATGGGTGTCAGTTCGTTGGCACGAATTCTTGCACCTTCCAAGTAGATATGCCTCTAGGCTTGTGCACGCTGGACCTGATCCTATTGCTCCATGGCTCGGTACACCTAGTGCAACGAGTCTGGATGATGACTCTCATAATTGCTTGTTCATGTCACCACCTCCATCTTCTCCACAGGCTCCGTCATATGGTGCTAAGTCCTTCACGAGGAACGATAGGGGGCAGAACCTGTTGAAGTGTCGCTTCATAATCACATCTCCTCAAACGCCGGCGAAAAGAAGACGGGTTCAATTCGCGGGATCATCATCTCCTATATTGGATCCACCGAACCGATCATGGGGAGGGTTTATGTCTCCTGTGTTTGGCAAGAGGAATGAGTCTGAGAGTATTACTATGGCAGATGAGCAGGAAAGGATCATTTCTTATCTCAACGGGAAACAAACTGAAATTCGTCTACTTAACGAGAAAGAAGCAGAGATCGTCATCCCGACCGAGACCGGTAACGAGATCTTCACGGCCGATCCGTGCCTCGATCTCATCGATCGACTTAACTGGATCCATCAGACCACTGAGGCTTGGAGATTTGTCGGCTGCGAGCTTTGTTTCATAATCAAGGGTGGGCCGGAACCCAATCATGGATTAGACAGCTGCGAACAGTGGCCCGCTAGCAAGCATGCCAAGCGTATTCTGCAGTGGCTTACTACCCTCAAGATTCCACGATACTATGATGTCAGGGGGGCATGTAGCATGTGTGGGCACGGATGGCTCGTGTGTGATGAGATGGGACAAGGAGAGCTCGCCCGCCGTGAAGCACGCAGTCAAAGAAGCAACAGCGGAAAGGCAAATTTGATGAAAGAGTATGATGCTGCGCCTGACCCTGATGGCTACTGTATGAATAAACCAGTAGTGCGCAGAATAATCGCGGCGTTATGCGCGTACGATGATCAAATTCTCGGCAAGGCTTTGACGAAGATGGCACTCGATCACGAAGGCATAGATCTGACTTCAGAGAGCCAGGCAAGGCTCTGGCTAGAGCAGAGAATACGGTCTCAAGACGACTACTGGGTCTCAAGGCTCATCTATGTGCTAGATCAGCTTATAATGGCGTATGACTTCCGTCGGTCAAGAAAACAGTCACTAGCGAGGAAAAGCCAAAGCATTGATTTGGAAAGATAGAGATGGCATATGGGAAAATGGGAATTGTATGACTAGAACCCTAGTAAACAATAACCAAATCAACTCTAGTAGAGTTGATTTTACTGACCCACTTTAAACCTAGTAGGGTTGATTATTGCCAGGGTGTAGAGTTGATTTGAAATTGTTCTATATACAGGAATAGTAGTGCTGATCAGAACAGGGGTTCATCCGGAACGCGACGCGTCCTTTCGCGCAAAGTGCTATAAGGGGGTATATCATACTACTAAATAGTCTCATTAATGATCGAAACATAATCATCATTCAGATCTTACTATCAAGGACCAAGCCACTATAACGATTACTATGACGGCTTCGAACTTGCAATCTGAACCATGCAGTGCAATTTATCCCTACGTTCTTCTCCCTACATACGGCCTTCTCGTATGCCAGGTTTGTAGGTTCGCCTCCGTAGCCGATGAGGTTGCTACGCATTTGAGAACACGACATCGCGATATACAGCCAGAGCATCGGCAGGATCTGGTAGAGAAGATAAAACAGATCCCGAATATTCTCCATAGTCAGGACGAACTACGTCGTTGTTTACAGTACCCAACGGATACGATTAAACCCATTCCATATCTTGCGCCACCAAAATCAGACGGTTTGAAATGTCGTGCTTGCGGCCATATTGTCCGTCACGTCCAAAAGATACAAAAACATTGCGCTGAAAAGCATCAATGGATGAACCCACGAGGCAGGGGAAGACCAGCACCGAATTGCCACGTATCCGCTCATGAGCCACCGTGGGAGGAACTTGTCGCGTGTCAACGATTCTTTCCTTCTCGGGAAGGTAGCAAATGGTTCCAGGTCAACATACAGACAAAGGAACAGGCGAACAGACCAAGAGCAAAGCCTAGTGCCAAGAAGCCACAAGGAACACTCCAGGGTCTTACATCTGAGGCTTCCATCCATCTACAACAAGTCATAGATCGGGAAACTCAATATCGAGAAGCTATGAGTCAACCTCGAGCCACTGTCAATCATACGGGCACAGATACATTTCCTGCTACAAGTTTGTGGCTAGACAGGACACAATGGCCGTCGATCTATCGAGGTTCCCGCCGAGACGTCCTGCAAGCGTTGACTAGATTACCTAACCGCACTCTCTCAACGCAGACTATATCTTAGGGCAGGGCAATTCGGAAGACGCGCCGAACCTTGTAAGCCCACGAGAGGACGAACAGAAGATCTCATGCATCATGAGAGCACTTGACTTGGTAATAGACCGTTGTGAGGATACCGTTCGCTATACTAGTCATAATCTTCTTTGCTGGCTGCTCAGCTCGAGACTCCAGAATCGTCAAGAGATCGCTTTCAACCTTATGGCAGAGACGAGTAGCGAGATTAGATACCGAAGGACTCAGAAGCAATTCTTGGCTTTTATCCTGCGAATATACCGAATGCCGGGTGACTCCCGACAAGAAATGATGAATGTGAAGATAAAGCCCGAGATCTCCACACAGCTAGATAGCATTTGGGAGCACGACATTTGGAACCATCTCGACGTGTCGAAGGGAACTTGGCCGGCCATGGAAAGACAGGGAAGTCCCCTGGTAGGAACACACTCTGGTCCTATGGGCGGCCAATCCACTGATGTTCCTCTCAACATTCGAGCTTGTCAAGGGTCAGATGGAAAAGAAGGCGTCGAGGATGGCGAGATAGACGATGAGAACGTTGAAGCTTGGGAGCTTGAAGACGAAGACGACGACGGCTATGATGACTCTGAATATTATGATGACGATACTGATGGGTACACGGCTAGAACTCATCAGGATCTGTTCTCAGGCGTATCAGGGGACTCTGCTGCATTTATATTCGATCAATTCCTTGAACTCTTGTTTCAACTGTGTATCATGCTCAGTACCGAAAGCTTTCTCAATGGGCAACCAAGCTCTACACTGCTTATACATTTCAGCGGTATTCTTGGATTTTCCGCGGATTATCAGAGATTCCAACTCGCCCGACAGTATTGCTCAAAACTATCGGCGATGATTTATATACAGCGCATATTTTTCCTGGAGCAAGCATTGCCTTTGCGTGGATATAGATTTATTGGCATTTCACAACGACCGGAAGCCAGGCAGTTTGAGTGTTTCGACGAAGTCCGAACCAAGTATATGGTTCTAGACTCGCAGTACCCGTTGGCGGAGCTGGTAAGCCTTCGAGATTTCGGACGTAATGTTGCACGTAACGAACCACCCTCTATGCTTTTCCACTGGAGCAATGATAATGAGACAGTGTCTCATGCGACTGTTCAAGTAACAATGAACGACTTCCGCAAACTCCCGGACTATTTTATTACACAGGCAGAAGCACTATGCGATCGGTTGATGTTTGGGATTCAGCCAAATATTGACTTGTCGAGAGTCAAAGACGATATCACTAGTTCAAAAAGTGGTCACAGCTTTATCAAGTACCCCGAGAATGGTCTTGAGTCAGCATATTTGGAGTTACTAGTCCATGCCTACACTGCAGGAAGAACCGGATTAGCTCAAGACGGCCTTTGGAAGTGGCATGCTGTGACAGCATACTTAAAACTCGTTAGTAGGATGGAGGAGCAGCTTGCTGGCGGTCTTTATACTGCATGTGGCCAGACACCACGAATTAGGGAGCTTCTCAGTCTTGAGTATGAGAATGGTCCGAACACAAGCTGCGGAATATATGCGTGGGGCGGCTATATGGTGTACGTCATCCGCCATCATAAAGCAAAGCGACTAACGAACCGCGAATTCTATGTGGTCCGATTCCTTCCGGTCAGACTCGGTCACGTTCTGTTTAAGTATCTGGTCTATGTTCGACGTGTGGCTGATCTACTACGTCGCGAGCAGCTCGGTGCCGATAGAAGCGCCCAGCAGTGCTTGCAGATACGCCTACTATTCCAAAATAACGGGAGGCCTTGGCCTACCTCTCGCCTGACAGACGTTGTTACGAAGACCACTTTAGAATTGTGGCAACAAAGGATCAATGTACGGACGTATCGCCAGCTGGCTATAGCAATCACCGAGAAACATGTTCGCGAGATGTACACCCCTTTCAACAGGCACGACGATTGGAGCAATGATGCTGATATCAACTCCATATTCGCTTGGCAAAGTGGTCATCGGCTATTTCAGCGTGGGATCACGTATGGACTTAATGGAGCGTATCCATTCAGACTTCAGCCACCACTTCTACAGTGCTATGAATGGGCTTCATTGCGTTGGCATGAATTTCTGCGTCAGTCAAGCAAAAACCTACGTTCTGTACCTAACGAGATACCCATCGCTCCCGAGTTATTCCCAGCCAACGGGAAACGAGCCATTACAGAGGTCCTCACAGACTCCATATCTCCAATACCATCCAGGACCACCTAATGGCAGTGATCGGAATGGTCTGGTATGAGTTGGTATTGGTATGGTAAATACCGCCAAGACTTGGTATGGTTTGAAGAAATCTCAATACCATGGTATTACCGGTATACCAAGTCATACCAGTAAGGCTAAAATGGGCTAAAAATAGGCCGAGTTGGTGGCGCTAGGCGGCTGGGTTATGGACCAAACTGGCTAGCGCCTCAAGGTCCAGAATTTTCTCGGCTTAGAACTTACAATCCTACAACACGTAGTTGGCCCATTTACGGTATTGAGGTATCACCTATGGAATCTCCAGTTCCAATCTCACCGTCCTCTTTGGCTACAGGCTCAACGCCATTATCCTTCAAGACTCCTACACCGTCGCCTGCTCCCCTTCAGTATCCCGAGCCTCCGGACGAATTTGTACAAGACAACATCACGTACTTGAACCGCGAAAAGGCCACAAAGAAAGCAGCCCGTCTGGGCTCATCACATATATAGTACACTTTCTTTCACCCTTCTATAGCTTTTTGACGTCGTCCTTAAAAGTCTTGGCATCCTTAATGGTATTATTGGTCTTACCGGTAATACCATACCGGTTATTATGTAAGCATCTGGTATGGTTTGGTTTGACCCCCCATACCAGACCATACCAGACCATTCCGATCACTGCCTAATGGATAACCCCGCCTAATGGATAACCAAAATTTCGCTGCGTCCATACAAAATCCAAATTTTCAATTACACCATATTCGGCCAGGAATAAAGATACTTGCAAAGTAAGATCTGTACTATATTGCTTTTTTCGTAGAATTTTTATGTCGGTTTAAATTTTCCCCGTTCCGCCTCGTGGCCTGGTTCCATAGCCCTTTGAATTCTTTTGCAGTTCACCCCATGTACCCTACGCGACTCCATCTACTCAAGCCGAGTTTTCACCTAATTTACTCCACGGAACTCCCTCCGCAATGGTTCGTCGTAACTATACCGAAGATGACGTAGCTGAGGCTATATTAGATATCACTGATAGAGGCCTCTCACAGAATGAGGCGTCTCAGAAACGTGGAGTGCCTCAGTCGACCCTTTCTGGACGACTTTCTGGTCAAGCGAGCAGGAATGAACGTATCCAGGCCCACCAGCGTATTTCAAAGAGCCAAGAGGAGACCCTCATTCGTTGGGTGTTGCGACAAGAGTCTCTGGGCTATGCTCTCTCGCACAGCTAGCTCCGTGCCTGTGTCGAGGCCATCCTCAAACAACAAGGTGATAACAAGCCTCTGGGCAAGCACTGGACCACCAGGTTCGTCAAGCGTCACCTACAACTATCTACCAAGCTTGAGAAACGCCAGGAAGCCGCCAGGTTTGATGGATTTACTCCAAAGGCAGTCAATTGGTACTTCGATATTCGGGAGACGGAATACGGCTGGATCAAGCCGGAGAACACGGTTAACGTGGACGAGGGCGGCATAATGGCGGGTTTCGGTAAGTCTTCCACAAGTACTCTATGGGTTTCCATAGGCCATAACTAATTGGTTGTCCATAAGGCTTGGACAGCCTCGTAATTGGGAGTTCCGACCCAAAGAAGAAGGCGTTATTAAAAGGCGTCCAGTCGCGCACCTGGACCTCGTTTATTGAGGCCGTCACCGCAACTGGTCGCGCTTTAAAACCCGGGATTATCTTTAAAGGAAAAGAGCTACAGAAGCAGTGGTTTCTTAACGAATTCGAATTGATAGCCGACTGGCACTACATCACATCCCCGAACGGCTGGACCGACAGCCATATAGCTCTCGAGTGGTTGAAAGACGTCTATCTACCTCAAACAGAGCCTCGTGATGCATCGGATGCGAGACTCATTATCCTTGACGGTCACGGAAGCCATGCACAGGTGGGTTTTTCGGGGTTTTCACCGCAAAGTCTCCCGCTATAAGATCGCTGACGAGCATCCAGGATGAGTGGATGGCTACGTGCTTTCTGAACAACGTCTACTGCTGTTACCTACTAGCATATTGTTCCCATGGTTTGCAGCCGTTAGATAATGGAATTTTTAATGTCATTAAAGGTGCGTATCGGAAAGAACTGCAAAAGCTGGCTAGTTTGACCGATTCTGCGCCGGTTGACAAAGTCAATTTTATTCCGGCATACGCGAAAGCCAGAGAGGCGGGCATGAGGAAGGAGATTATCTTATCCGGCTGGAGATTTACTGGAAATTGGCCTATAAATCGTCATAAGGCTCTAACACATCCTGAAATTCAACCGGACAAAGAAAAACTGCTGGAAGAGTTCAAGACGCCGAGCCCTCCTCAACTGCACTCAGATGATACGCCGAAAACGAGTCGGCAAGTGAGGGGAAATGGCCAAACACCGCAGTCGTCCGACCAGGCGGAAGTACAGTAAGACCGCAAAGGGGTTGGAAGCTTTAGAGATGAAGGTGGCCGTTCAGAATGCGCGGATTACTGGCCTCGAGGAGCAGATGGCCCAGGTGCGGCGAGGGAAGAAAAGAAAGGCGCTACCGAACCCGAACCGACGATTCATGGCTCTGGCGGAGACTCTAGCGGCTGGAGAAGCTCTTCCTGACTCAAAGAAGGCAGAAATAGAGGTGGATGTGGATGAGGAGGTCGAGTCGGTGATTGAGGTGGGTGTCAGGTCAGAGGACGAAAGTGACGACTTTAGGGTCGTAACAAAGCACTGCCAGCGCACACGGAGCGGTCGGGACGTCAAAAAACCACGCAGAGAGTAAAAGTTGATCAATTTTATAGGGTTTCTCTCCAAAGCTTCGCCTTTTAATTGACGACCTGGTGTTTTGTGCACGCATCAAAATTTGGATTTTGTGTGGGCGGAGCGAAATTTTGGTTATCCATTAGGTGGTCCTGGATGGTAAGGGTCAAGAGGTATCTGGCCAGGAGGTAGTGGGCGGGGCTGAGAGTAAATCGGATCTGGAGGGGGGATGGTGGAGCAGAGTGAGAATGTACTTGTCTGAAAGGACGATGAGGCTCCTGCGTCTTCTGCTGCTGGGATTGGCGATGCTGGGATGGAATCTCCGCCTTGACTGAGGGACTCTGGCAACAGTCAGAGACAGGAAGAGGTGATGGAAGGCTGGCGAAAGGTGGCGGTAGAGTATCCGAGAAGGCAGGTAGGGTATGTTGTCGGGGAGGAAAGGATGAAGTTGAGAGCAGTTGATGCAAAGATGGGTTCTTCCCTGTCTTAGGTAGCGGTCGACGGACAGATGCGAGAGGCAGGGAAAGTCTGGAGTCAGTCTGGACGCTGGAGAGAGGTGTATGAGTACAAGTGGCTGGCTTAGTGTCTCGAATGAACTCTGAGATGGAGGGCAGTGGCTGCCTGTTCGGAGACACATGGTAGTCGGCATGCTTTCGGGGTACAACAGAAGATGTCATGCTGGAGACCTGAGCACCGGGCGATGGATGAGAATAGTCCGAATATAAGCTGGTTCTGTTTTATAGTGAGTGGTCGGTGTAGTAAAGGTTGCTGTAACCGTAGTAGGAGGGTGCCTAATAAAGTCTGCAGAAAAATTCGCCTGAGATGGACTAGCGATATCGATGATACGAGTAACGGTATGGTTGAGGAAGACGGTTTGTCTAGAGATGGTACTGATCTGTGAGCGAACTGATTGTTATCATGGGCGTGACTGAAACAATCAAGAGAGGATGTTGTGGCAGCTCTTATATTGGGCTTCAGATGAGATAGATGTCACTGGCTAGGCATTACAACCGAATCGATCTGTCAACTACCAATGTGGCCTTGCTTTACAAGGGTCCGCGGAAACATCAAGAGTTGAAGAAGCAAATAACCCACACGCGAGAAGCGCCTCTTCAGCCAGCAAGGATTTACCGCGGCTGATAATATTCAGTAAAGGAGGACCCCTCCCCGCTTAGAGAAAAAAAAAAGAAAAGAGAAAAAAAGATCCCGGAGTACATAGTCGTCCCCCCGAAATTCTGCCTCTCTACCTATTTTCCATACGTCATTATGTCGTTACATTATAAACTTGAGCAACATAATGCGCAGATGTGAGTAAACAGACCAATAGTCAATATCTACGTGGTTCTGGCTGGCGTTAGCTTTGTTTTCTCGTCTCTGGTATGGAATTTCTTTATTAACCACTGCAATGCCCGGGCCACCATCTTGTCCGACTTTCTTTCTTATTAGAATATGTGGCGCTTCTTTCTATTCCTTTACGTGGCATAACCTTTGGGGAAGCCAGTCACACCGCTCGTGTCATGTAATAATGTCAGCACACGAGGAGTACGTGGAGGATTAAATATTTTCATAAAGTATTTTCAACCAAATCCCCAAACAAATTTTTCGTAATTTGATTGATGAATGTGGATTGAATACTCGAAGGAACGCAGGCATATAGTGCCTACAGCAGCGAGAACTTTAAGACCTGAAATTGAGCCAAGAATGGGGCACGACATCGTGCCGTTCAATACAGAAAACGCATTATCATATGAACATACTGTTCCCAGCACCACTAGAGCTATTCCAGCCTTACGCGTCTATTGTCTTGTTTAAAAATAGGTCATTTATGGGGATAGACGGGCTGGACACCTCTTCGAAAATGGCGCAGCTAACAGCTGGAATATCTCGGTTACGAGCAACAAAAGATCCTAGCCCGGGGGAGGATGCCACCATCAGAAGTGTGTATGGATCGGGTTCCTCATTTACCCATATAGTCACGCGGAAACCCCGGCAGCAAAGTATGGTAATGTTTCCAGGCCGCGAGTCAACAACATCGATTCCCCCAACAGTTAGGACTATGGGCCTCAACTTAATCGGGATGGAATGCATGTAAGCTTTGTGAAAGCGCTAGCAAGTGAGATCTGTCTCGAAACCAGGGTTATGGAACTTGATGCGCATTGACCCCCCCACCCCCTCTTACCCGAAACCCTGACCACTCGATTTCGCTTTGATCTCATCCCAGGGGAAAAGAATGTGAACTGCTGATGTAACGCTGTTGCTGGCGCCACTCAGTCCCCCATCTAGCACTGTTGAACTCCCTGGTATATAGTCATGTCACAGCGGAACCCCTCAGCATGCCCCTCGACGTCCTTCGTTCGCTCATTCATTCATTTAAACACTCTTTTGAAAGCGCAGGTTAAGCTTGGTCAGTTTTGTTACTGATCTAGTTCATTCTGCTTCCTCTCTCTCAGCTATGACGGGCACTCATGAGGGTGCTGGCTGGTTCCGCCAAATGTTCAGCGGCGGATACCAAGAATTACCGACGACCAATGTCAAGGATAAGACTGAGAATACTCAGATAATGCCGAGGAGGTTCCTGCGATTGTCAACGAGAGGCTTTTTGCTTATGTTGGCGACTATTCTTCTCATTCCTACGTTTTTGGCTCTTGCGCCTCTGGAGGTAAGCGACATCGCAATCACTGATGGGATCTTCAATTAACTGACAATTGTAGGGTCGACAATACCTCTCCGATGGAACCGCCGACGTATTCGAGATGGGCGAAACTCAAGATGCAGTCTCTCCACCTGTCGCTTCACCCGCTTCGCCCGTTTCGCCCGCTGGCATCCCCGTCATGGTTAAGCCTCCCAAGAAGGTGGGCAACATCTTCAACCGCCGTCTCGTCATCCTCCTCCCAGCCAACGCCCCCGGCGTCAATGTCTGCAAAGCCATTGTAACAGCAGTTGCCCTTGGATATCCCGCCCCCGTCATCCTGAACTGGGGCAAGAGTGGTTCACATCTTGCCAAGATCGCCGGTGTCCTTGATTATCTTGACTGGAGCTCCCGTCAAGGCAGTTCAAGCAAGGACCACTTGAACGAGGATGATCTTATCATGGTCGCCGACAGCGCGGACTCATGGTTCCAGCTTCCCCCAAGTGTACTCCTCTGGCGCTACCATGCTCTCAACGAAGAGGCCAACGAACGTCTTCGCAAGCAATGGCCACACAAGTCTGAGATGCCCATGAAGCAGACCATCATGGTGTCCGCCCAGAAGAGGTGCTGGCCTCGAGCCAAGTCTGGTTTCCACCTGCATTGCGATGCTCTCCCAGAGTCTCCCCTTCGTAAGGATCTCTACGGACCCGAGACAGACCAAGATCCCAACTTGCGCATGGTCGATGTCCGACCCAAGTACATCAACAGTGGTGCCTTCATCGGACCTGTCGGTGACATGCGAAAGTACTTCCGTCGCGCCCAAGAGCGTTACGAGCTTGGCAAGGCTGAGCAGGGAGACCATTTCTACAGTGACCAAGGCTTCTTCGGCGAGATATGGGGAGAGCAAGAGATGTGGCGCACGTGGCGACGCGAGCTCGGCGATGCCATTGATCCCTCCTACAATGTTTCCACTATGGTCCGCGATCAATTCGAGTTCCACGTCGGCCTCGACTACAACCAGACCATCTCCATCCCAACTGTCTTTGAAGAAGATGACGGTGATATCTTGACACTCAACAACCAGACATATATTGCCGAGCGATCTCGTGAGCTTGAGATTGAGCCTGTTCGTCTGACTGCTGTTCCCGAGGAAATTGCCAATGCGACAAATCCTCTTGAGCGCATTCTCTCAGAAGAGGACCGACGCACACTGAATTGGGGCGACATGACCTTGTACGCCGACTTCTTCACCACCGCCATCCCCATCAACATCCATCACAACGCCCATATCAACAACCTGAAGACCCGACGAGTCTTGTGGTGGGACCGCATGTGGTTCTTCCCCTACCTTCGCCAGCTTGTCAATGCGCAGCTCACTCAGCGCCGACAGCAGCCTTTGGGCAGGGTCGATATCCCCGAAGGCAGGGCTGTCTACTGGGGTCTTGAGGCATACCGAACTATCAGACGGTTCATGCCTGCTCAGCGTGGTATGGTCAAGACGGACTTTGACACCGTTTGCACGTCAAGTTGGGCGAAGAAGGAGAAGCAGAATTGGTGGGATGTAGTGTTCCAAGATGACCAAGGACCATTGGTACTCAAAGCGTGATTTAGGTAGTTAAATGGGTTATTTGCTGTATATTAAATGTTTAGAAAGGATTAATCATGGCAATTCTTGGGTTTGAGCGAGATACGAGTCTTTCGTTTATCATTCAGTGATTAATATGTTATTACGCCTGATGACCAACTCTGCCGTGCCGTCAAATTATTATCGTGTATAACCTTTCATGAAGTTGCCCTTGATGTAAATGATAAGCGGCAGATTGCTTTCCAAGACACATTCCCGAGCCACCAGTATTGCTCAAACATGCTGATGCGCTGTGGCCGCCGCCTAGACGTCGACTGGACTGTCCTGCCCCGGGTTTGCTTCCTCGTAGTGCATCATCTTGACAAGCCTGAAGTAGCCAGCAGCAAGAGCACCACCAAGAAGAGGTCCTACCCAGTAAAGCCAGTGATAGCCAGGGAAGTCTCTGTCACCAACAGCGCAGCCAAAAGACCGTACAGGGTTTAACGATCCGCCTGTAACATAGACACCTATGATGCGATTTCATCGTCAACCTCGAAGAAGTAATGAGAAGGGAGGCTCCTTACCTGGAATGAGGGCCACAAAAACAAAGAGACCAATGCCAATTGGCGCGAGAAACGTATCACGGGATTTCTCTGCGGCAAGCATTAAGACAACGAAGACCAACTGAGCTGTAAAGAACATCTCGAGAAAGACACCCTGCGCTATCGAAGTATTGGGACCGAGCGTAGTATTTGCCTGCGAGGCGCTTCCGGGAAACATGGCTTCAACTGGACCACCTGCGAACATTGAAGCCATGAGCTGGGCTGGGAATAGGTACAGCGCTCTCATCCATGGCAGTTAGCCAGCGAGACAGAGACCAAAGGTGACCTACGAGCACGGCCGTCAGCACATCGAGCTTGTCCACGAGTATAATAGCTTACCGCTGGGTTGAACAATCCACCGCTGATTCGGTAAAACGCCCAAACGTTGACCAGGAGTGAGAATCCGTATGCCATTGCGATCCAGATGATAGTGTTATTGGCCAATGTGCCATTGGGAGCGGCGGCAGGCTCTTGAAGAACAGCAATGACGTTGCCGGCATAGCCAAAGTATAAGAAGAAGAAAGTACCGACAAACTCACCAGATGCCGCTACCATATGAGTACCGACTTCGCTCAGATGAGTCCTCTGCTGTTTTTGGTGGTGGTGGTGGTGACCATTGAAGCCATTCGCACCGTGAGCTTCTGCAGCAGATGCCATTTTCGCAGCGTCGTAAAATTTCTCGCGCGATGACTGGTTAGTTTTCTTCGTGGCCTGGACCCTGAAAGGAAAGATTAGGTAAAAAGAAGAAATCCGGTGTGAGGGAAAAACAGGGAACTCAAAAGTAACGGATGGTGTAGGTAATGGTGTAAACCCGGGGAATGCTCAACGGCTGACGTAGTAACCATGGCCTCCTCCCTTAGATAAAATGCTCATCACTTTTCAATTCTTTCATATTGGCGTGGCTGCAGGTATGACGCGCACAAAGCTGGCCTCTGTGAGCATACATGGGCACTTTCGTTCGTTCGTTCATTCGTTCGTTCGGTTTAAAACGTTTAAGCATGTTAAATCGTTTAACCGTTTAAGGGCATCCTAAAACCGTTTGAACGGTTAAACGATTTTTCAGCCCTAGCACTCGAAAAATCTTTCAAAATGTCGAGCTCCGGAGACCTTCGCTTAGGTCAAGGGCAAGGATCACGACCATTGTGAATAGCTTCACGGTCAGCGTGAACGCTACACCATACCTAGCGTCAGGTAACAGCCTGCTGCCTATGAGATCGGCAGACTGAACACAGGTATAAGAGACCGACTCTCGTCGCTCTTTAGATAGAAGAGATGGTCCTCAATCTACACTGATCTTTTGTTCAATGTCTGCATTCGTGTATCGGTGCTAGGCCGACACAAAACCCATTGATATTGGGTCTCAATCCATGATACCGAGTTCAAAATCTCGCCTTTTACCTATCAATATGTCATCTGACACATCGTCTATTATTGGTGCTACAGAAAACCCCCCAGATGTCAATGGATTGCCGTCAAACTTCCTCTCAATTATGGACATCACGAAGGACCGTTCAAATACACGCGGACGCAAGACTGGAGGTAAAACCATCTATACTTGCACTGCGTGTGGAGATAAACGATACGACCATAAGGCAAATGCTGCCAATCACGTCAGAAACAACCACCCCGTCGCATCCAGATCCACCAGGTCTGTATCGGGCACCCAGCGCTCAATCTCCGCACATTTTCGCCCTGTAGCAAGCGAGGACGCACTTCGAAATGCCTTCAACCCGCAAGCATATCAGGAAGCATTGATCAGCATACTCACGCGTCGGAGAGTGCCCTTTTCGGCTATTGAATGGGACGAGTTTAAACAACTCGCTCTCGCTTGTAACCCATACATCAAAGACTCCCTCATTACCTCACGGCGTACGATGGTCCGATATATTGCAGCAAACTATGATTTTTACATCAGCGAGATCAAGGACAGTCTCACCACCGCGTCAAGTCCGATTCATATCTCAACAGACCTCTGGACATCACCGCATAGACATTCTCTACTTGCTGTGTGTGCACAATGGGTAGATAAAGACTAAAAGCTTCGTAAGGCACTACTATCTCTACCAGAATGTGCAGAGAGTCATTCTGGAGAAGCTCAAGCGCAGGCTGTTATCGATACTTTAGAGAAGTACGGGATACAGTCAAAACTTGGTTGGCACACGGGTGACAACGCGACTTCAAACGACACATGTCTTGAGTCTATACAACGCAAGCTAATGAGTAGACATAAGGTTAGTTAACTACGCAGTTTAGGCTATAGGCTGACATTGAGTGGATTAAATTCAACGCAAAAGGACGTCGTATACGCTGTATCGCGCATATCATTAATCTATCCCTTCAAGCCTTCCTTCTCGCATCTTCTAAAGAGGCTCTAGTCGCAGCACTCGAGTCAGCATCCGGTGTCACTGGAGAGGAGCTTCTCTCCCAGTTTTCCGAGGTCCTAACCTCTCATCGAAAGAAGGCTGCCGCCGAACGAAATACAGCAAAGAGAAAGAACGGAGAGCCGGCCAGAAAGCACAAGCGCAAGGGCAGCACGGCTAGCAATACGTCCGTGATATCGGCTGACGACTTTAGCGGCGTTGAGAATGTCCCTGCATTACGCAAGCTTCATGGCTTAGCTGTGTGGCTAAGTTCATCAAGCCTCCACCAGAATGCGTGGGATAAGGCAGTGGGACTGCGCTTAGGGATGGATAACCGTACCCGCTGGTCGTCCTGGTATCAGGTCATTGATCGTGTGATTAGGAAGAAGGACAGAATCCAGTCCTTCATGTCTGATCACGAAGAGGTCATCGGAGACAATCGGCTATTAGTTGGAGATTGGGAGTTGCTAGGCAAAGTACATACGTTTCTTCAGCCATTTGCTTCAGCAACATTGTATGCAGAGGGAGATGACTCGTCTATCTCACAATCGTTGATGCTGATGGATATGTTGTTACTCCATTACGAAGAACAACAGGTACCATTCAATCTATCCACATCAAGTCGATTACTAACATTGTATCAGAAGCTATATCAGTCGGATGAACACTCCGACGAACGGATGGTTCGAGCCATCGATATGGGATGGTTTATCCTCTCTAAATACTACCGCCTAACTGACGAGGTTCCCGTATACGCCGCCGCTCTCCTCCTTGATCCCCGTAAACGCATCGCGTATATCAAGCAGAACTGGCCAAAGGAATGGCATGAAGATACTATTGCCTCGGCCACAGCATTCTGGCAAAAGGAATTTAATTACGAGCAACCCAGCGACCATCCCTCCACCCCGACGTCGATGCCACCACCGCTGGCAAAGAAGCCAAATCAACTCGCGATACTATCAAAGAAGCTGGAGGTTAGGAGTATTAACGCGAGTGTTAGGGATGATTTCACTAGCTTCATCAACGTTGATGCAACAGATATCCCTCCGGATTGTACGCCTCTGGAGTGGTGGTGTCAACCACAGCAGAGAAAGCAGTATCCGAAACTTAGCCGCATGGCTATTTGCATTCTTTCTATCCCAGCAGAGTCATCGGAGCCGGAGAGGACGTTTTCTGGGGCAAGAAGAACATGTTCATGGGATAGATTACGAATCACATGCAAAACTATCGAGATGATTGAATGTACGGGCAATTGGTTGCGTCAAGGACTCATACAGCCTCTGCATGAGAACGGGATGGGTTTAATCGGAATCCCACGGCCGGAGGGTGACTCTCAGGACGTTGACGATGATAGTGGCCATTATTTCGACTGGTATTAGAGCAGGCGCGGTGGATATTTCTCACCGTCATAAATCGTTCATTTGTTCGTTTAAATCGTTTATTCGTTCGTTTAACCGTTTGCAATATTTTTGAACCGTTCAAACGTTTGAGGAAATATTCGACCGTTTAAACGGTTTGCCCATGTATGTCTGTGAGACTGCTACGCTGCGAAAAATGCGAAAATGACAACGTCAGGATTGCAACGGCCGTTGGCAATTCCACAGCTGACATCAAGCCCATCCGCTTGGCGCCTGTCGAGTCTCAGACTATTGAATCGCCAATGTCGACGGGGCTGATTATGACCACTTCTTTATTGAACAATCTCTGGACTAGCCGGACTTTACGTCCGGGAATGATGATCACAAAGCCCAATGTAGAAAAGTGTGCAACCAGTCGTACTAGACCGTTTAGATCAGCTCATCGGACGATCACTGTTCAATCTGTGTTTTGCAAATATCACATCATATGCAACGAGCCGCGTTTGTCGACCGGGGAATTCTTTATAAAGCCGAGCTTTGGTGCAACATTTGATCAACGAATTTTTGGCGTACATATCTTGTCACGGCAATTGGGCTGTTTCCCGGCTATTGCTGTGCTGAGCTGGGCGATCTTGAGTTGCTATGACTCCAGCTGGATCACGATTTCGCGCTTGGGGATCATCAATTACACTGAAGTATACCTGTAGTGGACTGAGGAGCTCTGCCTCTGCATATCTGTTGATCAAGACGAAACTGGAATAACCGCCAAGGAAACAAAGAGCTGCCAAGCATCACGGACCCCTCACTGCGCTGCTGTGTTCTCAACGGAGTGGCGGACAATGACTGAATGTTGTAATATTGCCGTCATCTTCTGAAACAGTTTGCTCAGACAAGACTGCATTGCATGAAGGTTACAGCGAAAGTTCAAGCAGAAACAACAAGCAGCTTAGGCCAATGGCGCGTACCTACTGTAGCCCCTCGTTGGTGGCTGGCACAATGGGTGCCGATCATCTCTGCCTCAGAGGTATGGAGCTACTATGTCTGCAGTCATGCTTGACATTGACGAGAGGAGGCCAGTACATTAATTATGACGTCCCAGTTGATAATACAAACAGTGAAGAGCTCCCAGGGACCGTTTTTAGTCATGGTTAATTCTATACTTTCCAGCGTTTAGGATACTTTATGACATCTAATCGGACTTTTCAAGTTGTACGGTAGTGGTTGTCATTAAGTGATTCTATATCAAGATTTCCATTGCTCTAGTTCTTCCGTTAAATGAGTCAAGAAGACTCAAACAGATTCTGCCAAGGCTAATTTTCCGATTATTACGAAACAGTATGGATTATTAACTCTAAATAGTCCAATATAGTAGCGATCGATATACAGACCTTTCTCAACGCTACCAGCTGTTGTGCCTGAAGAGTAACATTGATCGGCAAGACTATTCATTTTAGGGTTTTGGATTTTGAAGCATCACCAATCCCGGTCTATCAACGACATATTTTGAGTCTCGTCAAAATCTGCCCAGCCCTACATGAAACCATATCTCCTCATACTGCGTCAGACTGCTCGGTCGATCGCCCAGCTGCATAATTATCTCGGGTCCGGCGTTGAAGTAAGTTTCATTTTCGGCAGATGTGCTTATGACATCAGTACTAACGATAACAGCCGTCGGCATATCAGGACATTTTTTCATGGCAGCTGCTTACGGTAAAATCATGTTTATCTCTGGACGTGATCTTAATGACCTTACGCAGAATGGATCTTGTATCCGTCGCTGGATAGGCACTTGATCGAATTAAAATAAAACAGTTCAAAAAAACAAGCAGTGGTGGTCGGCGAAAGCCCGTGCACTTTTACGACTGATGGTTGAGGCCCTCAGCCTTGCATCCCGAAATCCCACTCAAACTTTGGATAGTTTGGTAATAATGGCGATTGCAAAAGTTCCCGATCAGCATTATCCTTGGTGGCATTGTTTCCGTTATGGGAAATTCGATCTGTCATGATGAGATGTTGTTGGATCACGCAGGGATGCTGAGTGCAGTTAACAATTGATTGTTCTTATTTCTCTCCTTGCAGCCGAAGGACCTTTGTGGCCTTATATCTTCGACTGTTTCTGTCTAGGACTTAAGTCCTAGAGTCCTAGATGGAAGTCCTACGATTTGAGTTTTAGGACATTAAACCTTAACTTTAATCTTGAACCTTAATCCTGAAGTTGAGGGGGAACCATCAATTCTTCCAACATGAGATAGCTGTTGCGTCACATTCAAGCCTCACCGTCAGATATTGCAGCTGATGGCCTCGCCAGTATGATAGCTAGAAGCAACAAAGGCCTCACGACACAAGCCTAGTCGAGACAATGGAAGGAAGGCAGTAAGGATTCTGCATTTCGGTGCAAAAGCGGCCAGATTTATGAATCATATGAAAAGCTTTTTGTAGTATGTAGAGAAAATATGGTGTCTCTTACATTAAAGAAGCCAACCCGCTATTCGGCGATACAAACCCTGGTCGGAAGGGAGAAGTGTTGGGAAAGTATCTTGGCAAGCGCTCAGAGAGCAGTATTGAATTCAACAACTTTTTTACGAGCACAGTAAGGTCTGAGCGTCGGGTAGGTGGGATGGAAGATTGGTGTTGGATGCTATTTCATAAATCGTGACGATTAAATAATGGATAACGTACATGATAAGCATGTGCACCAGACAAGTATGTGCACCACTGCACTGTATAGTATTAAAAAACCTACCCTATAACAATTTCCTATTATAAATAAGATGGCTAAAAATCTAATAAAATTATTTTTTAAATTAGTATAACGTACGCGATAAGCGAGCGGGACAGACAAGCGAGCGGGACACCCCACTTTTTACCTTAAAGGTAGGTTTTTAAAAGCTTATAAAACTTTCATTTTAGTGTTAAAATAGCTAAGATTTTAATAGCTTATATATAAGTCTTTAAATAAGCTATTTTGATTTTTTTATACTGTATTTTAAGGTTTTCTATATAAAGTAAAATAATTAAAAATCTTTTAAAAATACTTTCTTATATAGTTAACTATACTATTTAAAAAGAATTTTTTTTTAAATTTTTAACTATTTTATTTAAGTCTTAAAGTACTATAGGGTAAGTCACTTTTTGCTATACAGTATTCTGTCCCGCTCGCTTGTCTGACCCGCTCGCTTATCGCATACGTTAGCTAGTTTTACTATAATATATTTTTCTTAGACTTTTAACTATTTTATATTATATATAAAACTCTAAATACACAGTGTAAATAGATTTTCTATATACTAGCTATATAGGATTTTTTTAAAAATCTAAGAAATTTAATGTGGCTTAATTTAAGACTTATATATAAGCTATTAAAATTATAGCCATTTTAGGCTTAGTTTGAATTTTTAAAGAACTTTTTAAAACCCTGATTTAAGGTGGAAATAAGATTGGTGCACATACTTGGATGGTGCACATGCTTATCATGTACGTTACCCAGTTAACATTCCCGGTCTGTTGCCAATATTACTCGCAAATTACTAAGGTATTTTTAGGCCATATAATCGTTCTGGGTTCCCCGTCCTTGGAGTAAAATCCGCGGCGCCAGTGTTGGAAAATCCGGGGATCCCCCTTCCCTTCAGGATTCAGACTGTTAGTCTGAAAGTCCTAGATTTAAAGGTCAAAGTCCTAGATGAAATCATCTAGAGATATAAACTCGAGAAGAACTCGCATCTCAAAAAAAAAAACCCAAGTTTTGCAAAATATATTTTCACCCAGCACTACTGCGCAATATAAACAACAGTTGCGGGATGTGATAATTATACCGCCGTCGTTGAAAAGGGGACTGTTTTGCCTCACCACATTACAGGGTGGCGATCAATTCAATCTGGGGCGTTGATTGAGTTGAAACAGGGTTGGCACGGTCTGTTTTATGGCACGCGCACGCTCGCACGGTGCACATAGCGATCTTTTGTCCACCGGAGGGGCGATTGAATTGAATTGATGACCACCCTGGATCAAATTACAAGCAACTTTTGTTACAGTTGAGGGATGGGGAAACCAGGCATGAGAAGAGATAACCAAAGGTTGCAGCAATCCTAAGGGAGTTGCACTCAACAACGTCGTGGTTCCTGGGCAACGGAGCTGGGGCGGAAGATGATGTAACGGTCTATCTCGGGTTGGCCACAGGAGATGCGACCCCAAAACCCCAACAAAGTTAGCGATGGCCAAAACTTCGGAACTCGGTCCGGAGGCAGTACCTTAGAGCTGTTTGTTAGGGGTTAAATGGATAGCTGTTCTGCACTCTAGGATGGTTACATTGAGTTGATCTTGCCCTGATATGAACAAACACGATGTTACCTCGAAAGGTGTTCTGAGAGTTTGCATAATCTAGCACCCGAGTGCTCCCAGAGTGATCCTTATTAGAATTTTACTACGCTGTATGCTACTGCTCCTGATTTTGTTTCTAGATCTGTACTTGGATTTAACGCTACTGTTTTGAAGGCGCTTATAAGTTTATCAAGCCCCACACTCCTACAGTAACCGAGTCCTACTCCTAACCGTATCCCTAATTATGTACCTCGTGATGTATCTTATAAATGTAGATCCTCTAGGTCGCGGTACCTATTACACGCAACAGGCGGCATGTTGAGCTCCGCATGGGTCATTCACTCTATTGCGCGATACTTCCCACTGTAATAGAAATTTAACAAGTGTCATGCAATTTAAAATAAGAAAAAAATCCACTACCTCCATGGACTTTCTCTCTTTCACATGCTAAATTTTGCAATCGATGACAAGGCTGTCGGTCGTTAGTTCGTCTAACAGGGGTTAGGAGATTAACGAGACTCGCACAACAGTCTCTGGAGCAATAAACAAGTCGGCTGCACGTCCATGCAGTATCTGAGCTGCTAATGATCGGGTCGTGGCTACGCAACAAACAATCAATCGGCAGGAGTCAGTCTCTAAAAGAGAGAGATCTTCCACCTTTTCAAAGGCATGCTAGTCCAGGTTAACTATTGACATCTCCTTTCCTTTCCAACTTCAACTGCTATTCGTTCTCTGAAAGCGGGGAGTTCTGTGAGGATAACCTTGATATTCCATACGGCAACGCCGAAACGCGATCTCGAAGGATAGTTCGACGGCCATTCGCTTCTGCGCTAGAGCTAAGGTGATAGTGCAGGGTGTAGAAAGTCGGAGGAGGCCGCTCTGTCCGCAAGCTCAACCGTCTTGTAGGCCCGTTGTGGCTCCCTCCTATACCTATATTGAAACCCACCTACATGCATGGCCAACGTTTAAGTCGCTAGAGGTCGAGCCTTGTTGCAACTTTGGATGCGATCAATACTGCTACCAGGTGAGGTGTAGAGCGCTGACGACAAACCGATGGAGAGGATGCTTTGTATTCTAAGACTCCGGGATATCGGCTACCGAATGTTGGTACCTACGCGAGGATAAGCATCAGATGCGGCCCAGAACACTTTCTACGGCAATATGTGGTTGCATGTCCCTGGATTGCCGTGGCCACTATGATGTCTCTATTTAGTTTACCGCTGCTTGAATTCGCTTTATCTCAACAACCTTAAAAGTATTCTTCTCCGCGTATTCCTCTTATGGTCAGATGAATTGCTTGTCGATCCCTTATGGCTCATCCGTCTCTCCGAAACTCGTAGTCCCTGCGTACATATTTTAGCTCACAATTAACGTTACGAGCACAATGTATAGGAAATATCTATGCAGAATCCTAACCTCATATCCTTATCAAAGTTACAGAATTTGGGTGCTCAGACGCCAGAACAATTGGGTTCGTCGTATCTCTCGTCATTAATTTCAGCTTGTCTTCCGTGAATGGTTCAACCCCCTGGCCGATGGATACATTGCAACACCATATAACCTTAATCCCCTTCCGCTTTGGCCCGTCTAGCCGTTTTCTTGCCGATCATCCCAGTGGCGCTGCGTTAAGACGTACCAATGGGAATCTCTGACTGCGGGTCTTATTCCTAATTATGATGATTTATGCCTTCCAATTTTTAGAGGAGTATCCTTAGCAAAGGTCTTCGTCAATATTGAGTCATCTTGCTAGGAATATCTCTCTGTGCGTCAGTGAATTTCTCCCAGCTCGTATCCGGTATGTGAGGCTGGCTGTTGGAGGGTGGTCTATTCAGGTGACTGGTCCAGTATGGCTGGAAGAAGGCATGCATAAACCGATGAGATTCTAAGAGAGTTTGGCTTTGAGTTAAGAGACTCTAGCTCGATGAGGCAGAAGGTTGCCTGGACCAGCCTCTAAACAGGGACGGGACTGTAAGTCCATTTTCTAGAGAAGGAAGGGCGTCCAGCATAGGGTTAAACCCAGTGGTCTATATAATCTCTCCTCATCACCCTCTCTGGCACCCTTTCTAGAATCCTCGCCAACCAAGATATTGGGCATTACCTTACGAACTGTTCTAATTCTCGATTGTCAACGCAAAGAAACTCTACGTTCCCCTCTCTACCCACCACAGCTTTTCCTCCATAAGGGACATACCACTCGCCTATCATGCTTCTCAAACACTTCCTCCTAAATGCACTTCTTACCCTAACCTCAGTCACCGCCATCCCCAACCCTGAGGCCGTGAATCCAGGTCTCAAGGCTAGGGCTGACGATGTTGATCCCTCGGGTCACTTCATCACCCGCCGCTATTGTGGCGGCGAGGCCTCCTTGATGCACGGCAAGTGTATCTGCAAGAAGAAAGGCCAGGAGTTCAACCCAGTCACCAAAACATGCAAGTGTCCTGTCGGCCAGCAGTGGGATCGAAAGGACGAGAAATGCAAGTGTCCTGTCGGCCAGAAGTGGGATCGAGAGGACGAGAAGTGCAAGTGTCCTGTCGGCCAGAAGTGGGATCGAAAGGACGAGAAATGCAAGTGTCCTGTCGGCCAGAAGTGGGATCGAAAGGGCGAGAAATGCAAGTGTCCTGTCGGCCAGAAGTGGGATCGAGAGGACGAGAAGTGCAAGTGTCCTGTCGGCCAGCAGTGGGATCGAAAGGGCGAGAAATGCAAGTGTCCTGTCGGCCAGAAGTGGGATCGAGAGGACGAGAAGTGCAAGTGTCCTGTCGGCCAGCAGTGGGATCGAAAGGACGAGAAATGCAAGTGTCCTGTCGGCCAGAAGTGGGATCGAGAGGACGAGAAGTGCAAGTGTCCTGTCGGCCAGAAGTGGGATCGAAAGGACGAGAAGTGTCATGCACCGACGCCGACAACTGAAATCCCCACGGAAGTCCCAACTGAAATCCCCACGACTGAAATCCCCACAACTGAAATCCCCACGACTGAAATCCCCACGGAAGTCCCAACTGAAATCCCCACGACTGAAATCCCCACGGAAGTCCCAACTGAAATCCCCACAACTGAAATCCCCACGGAAGTCCCAACTGAAATCCCCACGACTGAAATCCCCACAACTGAAATCCCCACGACTGAAATCCCCACGGAAGTCCCAACTGAAATCCCCACAACTGAAATCCCCACGGAAGTCCCAACTGAAATCCCCACGACTGAAATCCCCACGACTGAAATCCCCACGACTGAAATCCCCACGACTGAAATCCCCACGACTGAAATCCCCACGGAAGTCCCAACTGAAATCCCCACAACTGAAATTCCGACGTTCTAGCACCACAGACAAGTGCAAGCCCGACTGCTACAAATGCGTCTGCAACTTGAATAAGTGCGTCTGCAAGAAGAAGGCCATGGAGTAGAACGAATACTCCAAGATATGCAAATACAAGAGTGAACTAATCTAGGGCAGCTACACGCAGAAGTGCAGGTGCCTTAAGGGGAACAAGTTTGACGCTTACACGGGGAAGTGTAAGAGCGGTGGTAGTGAGGATTGACGGCTGTTTTCTTGATATTCTGCGCGAGCCCATCTCCGGGTGCCCCCGTATACGATCCTTATGGGCCTTTGTTGTTTGGTTGTGATGTTATCTAGTTGAAGATAAAAGTGGTTAAAAAAGAGAATGCTACATATAACTTTCTTTACATTGTATCGGTATTGAATGTTGAAGTATAAGCCTCAACAGTCTTCTGGGGGTAACCCTTTTTTGATTCAACATTGAAATAGCTTCGTAGTAAGTGTGGCGACATTAGGCAGCAGGGCACGTGACAACAGATAATAAGAAGGCAGCGGAGAGGAGGCTGCTTCTCACAATAGTTCTAAGCTGGGGATAAGTGCCGAGGGAGATAGGGAGTCTGGGTCTATCGCTCCTTTAATAATGTATAACATTTATGCTTCTATCCAGTGGAGAAAGTGGCTGGATAAAAATCTGTGGACCTTGTCCATCGTCATCAACACCTATACCTACTACTACTGTACTAAGAACTGCATGGATTCGAATAAAATACATACGTATCGTCCGTGCGCTAGTCCCTGTTCCCTTGTAATTTCATTAATTTACGTCCTTTTTTTTCCGTGCACGCTCGTTGGGTTCGCATCCTCAATGCACGGTAAACTTTGTCCTGTGTTACCACGCCACAACCTACCCTCCTAGCCCTTTATTTAAGATTCAATCCCCGTCAGGGGGAGTGCGTCTGACCATTGATTGTATTGAACATGATGCACGTTGTAAAACTTAAAAAAATCCCTCAAGAAGATCAAGTGACCATCTCTCCTCCTTCTGTTTTTCTTGTCGGCTCCTTTCCAACTTTGTCAAGGATGACTTGTTCGCCTTAGCTTCCCTCCTTTTTCCTTTCTATGCAATCCTTTCCTCTCACCCTCACTTCACTCTTTCTAGTTCCTCTCTTTTTTATGTACTTTTGGCTTGTACTGTAGCTTTTCCCAATGGGTCTCGGATTCGGCTCCGCCTGGAGCACCCCTCGAGGCCGGAAGCTGGTTGCCCTCACTCTCTATGCCCTAACCATGTTTCTTGTCGTGCCCCTCCATCAGCTAGACGACGACTCCCCGGGTATTTACGGCCATTTGACCGAATACCCCAGCCATGAAGGCATTGCTTACGACGGCGGGGGTAGAACAGAAGCCCAAGACGACGACAACAAACCCGCCGGAGACAAGCAGCCACAAAGCGGCAACGCCTACCAAGAGAACGACAACAACAAAGCAGAAGACAAGGAGAACGGTACCCTGAGGAAGGAGGCCGAGGGCGCCGGTGGTCCACTTGAAGATGATGGTAAGGTCGAGGGCGACAACAAAAAACATCAAGGGGAACCCAATAAGAGTGGAGGCAGTGATGGTAAGCCTGAGAACGAGGAGACCGCCGCTGAAGGCGCCGGTAGCCTAATTCAGGAGGATAAGAAGCCTGAAGGAGTCCTCACTTCTGAAGGTAAGGGCAACACGGGCAGTCAGAACAACGACGACGACCAGACCGTGACCAAGTACTTTGGTAGCCAGGAGACCATCAGTGTCGTCCTTGAGACTAAGCCTAGTGAACCGGTAAACGTTGAGATCCCCTCAGGTCCGCCGTCGAACCTGAACAGTGCCTGTGACGGATTCCCCAACACAGACGGTATCCTGCTAGTAATGAAGACGGGTGCTACCGAAGCATACACGAAGCTCCCGACCCATCTCCTGACGAGTCTGCAGTGCTTGCCTAACTTTTTACTTTTCTCTGACCTTGTGAGTAGCGACACCGATTGGTGAGGAAGCGTGCGTTGGGATAATTGCGGGCGCATGCTTCGTGCTATTGACAGAACTCTGTTTCCATTCCACAGTTATATTAAGATTTGCAGCTAACGAATTCGGACAGGAGCAACAAATTGGCAATTATCACGTCTACAACGTCCTCGAAGATGTCAAAGATGAGGTCAAGCAGGGACGTAAGGAGTTTGATCTGTACAAGACGCAGGTCGATTGCCCCATTCCTCAGCAATACTGCACGGCCGACATGAAGGGTGGTTGGGAACTTGACAAGTACAAGTTTATTCACATGATCGATCGTGTCTGGGCGATGCGCCCCAACATGGAGTGGTATGTGTTTGCCGAAGCCGATAGCTATGTCTTCTGGTCAAATCTGGTCTGGTGGCTACGCAACAAGGTCAACGGGCAAGAGACACCGTATGTCGGAAGTGTGACCATGCTCAAGAATACCCGCTTCGCCCACGGAGGTAGTGGCTATGTTATTCACGGCGAAACCGTCAAGAAGATGGCGGAGATCCCAGATCTAGTGGCCAAGTACGATCAGATGGCTACACATGAATGCTGCGGTGACTATCTCATGTCCTTAGCCGTCATGGAGACGGGTAAGAAGGTCAGGCAGGCTCACCCGATGTTCAACGGCGAGAAACCCGTCACGCTACCTTTTGGAAATGAACATTGGTGTGAACCTCTCTTGACCATGCATCACATGAATGCAGAGGAGGTCAGCTCAGTATGGCAATATGAGAAGACGCGAGAGAAGAAGGTTTGTGCACACAGGGGATGGCTAGGTATCCAAGAAATGAAGCAAACTAATTTGAAGTGCAGGGTCCCCTCCAAATCAAGGAGATATACGAAGCATTCTTCGGCCCAAATATAAAGGAGAAGCAGGATGAATGGGACAACTTTTCCGACGACGTTTGCTACATCGGAGTCGAGCCCGAGGCCCAGAACAAGGCTTCTGACCACCAGAAGGGCCGACAGAAGAAGGAAGATCAGAAGAACGCGGTTGAGCAACGCGCTCACCATGATGAGGCGCACTGCGCCAAGGTTTGCGAGGCTGATGGTCTCGGCATCACCAACGACGAGTATTTCAGCCTTAGCAACGACGAAAAGCGCAACGCTCTCATCAAGGCGAGGTACGACCTACGCAAAGATGATAAGGCGTTTCATGGGTCTCGTCGCTGCTTCCAGTGGCGCTACCACAAGAACGTGTGCTGCATCGCCAGAAGCTTCAAGAACGGCAAGCCCAAGAAGGAGGAGAAGCCTGGGGAGAAGTGGACGAGCGGTTGGTTCGTCCAGGGAATCAACGACTGGATCGCCGCAAAGGGCGACTGCGAGCCTAAGTGGAAGGATCTCAGCTAAGCCAGATTTCCCAGCACATCTGTACATTTCTAAATATCTATCGAAATGGGGTGAGGGCATGAGGGTGGTTGTTTTTAAACTAGGCTGGCGATTAATTCAACCATCAACTCAATCCCGTCAATTTTATGGAAGTTGAAGTCACGTGCATCAATTCAATCAATCCCATTTGACGCTCGCATTGATTGTTTCAATTCAGTATTAGTGTCGAGATCGTGTCATATAAACCATTGCAGTCAAAAAACACGCCGAAGGGGTCCTGGTTAGGGTTACAAGTGATAAATAGGACATGCGAATCGGGCTCCCCCCAGGCTTGGGTCCTTGGTGGTCTTAGTGGACTTCGCGCGGGCAGTCGACAGAGGCATTTTATTTTGTCAAAATTCAACCACAACGATGCATCTAGCGATATGTATATAAAACGATAGAGAATAAAGCAATTAATTGATCAATCTCCATAGACCCATTTTTTATTCATCGTTGGCTAAAAAGCACGGGAAAAGAAAGCATCTAACTCGGTGTCGAGACGAAAGCATGGTCTGAGCTCAGAGGCTGCTTACGAAATATCGTTACACCCTGGTCGCTTGGTCTAGAGCTCAAACCAATGAAAGGAGGGCTTGGACCGGACGGTATCCTTGTTGACTCCACAGTGGTTTCCTGAAACAGCTAGCTGAACTGAGTATGAACAGGGGCAGGTCGATACACTGATCGTCTATCATGACTTTAGCTAATGATAGCATGGCTTGGGCCGGACGGTATCCTGGTAGGCTCCACAACGATGTCCTAAACAAGGTAAGTTTCGTTTTGCCCATAGAACTGGCCGAGCGAGTAGTCAAGCAAGCACTGTCGAGACTAAACGACCGGATAGTTGCAGACATCATTGTATTGCGCACAACCTAGACTCATCACTCAACATAGCATGAATTCAAGATGCAATAAATATGATTTTGAGGGGCCACTTGGTTCATTAAGAGATTATCATGTATCCTAGTCCTACAGTCCAAAATCAATTGTTGTACAATAGATTTTTTTTACCCCGCTTTACAGGGGGTAGACTTGATTGTTGACGGGGGGTAGAATTGAATTTCGAGAAACCACTAACTACCGGTACATGGCACGTTAGTCACATACACAGGTAGAGTACAATGTTTAGGACGGCAATACCACCTCAGGAAGTGGCATGGACCCCATCCCTAGTCCCTCCTGTGCCGGAAGCGAGGGCACGAAGGCAACGCGATTGTCGCAACTCATGGTAGTCCGCCAGGAAGTTTCATCCGTCGCGTCAGGACTCAAGCCTCAACGAAAGCGAAAAAAAAAGAGATAAAAAAGATTTATGGTCAAAAAAAGTGTTATCAAGCCAGAAAGCCGACCGTAGATTTCATTGATCAGTGGCTTTGCGGGACCCTGATTATTACGCTGGGCATGGCCGAGATATGCCGATGTGGGGCCCCGCACGCTGACAAAGAACTTGCCTCGATATGATTTCCGGCGGGTAACCCTTCGCAACGTAATGAGGCTCCACTTTAATTAGGCCAAGCATCAAAACACAAAACACACGTTTGCAATGCAAATATCCACTCTTCGAAATCGATCCTCACCACGACATCAATCCCACATATCATGGATGGATCATTGAGTGTAGAAGAATTGACAAGACTGCTACGAGAAGCTGAGCAGCGCGCGAAGGAGGAGCGACAACGCGCCGAGAGGGAAAAGCAACGCGCCGAGAGGGAAAAGCAACGCGCCGAGGAAGCAGAGAGAGAACGACAGGAAGAGCGACAACGCGCCGAGAGGGAACAGCAACGCGCCGAAGCGTCAGAGGAACAAACACGACTCACGACACTTGACGAATACATTGCAGCTTGCCATGCTTCCGTTTTCTCTCGCTTCGCAATCGAAACAGATCCAAAACTGACTTCGAGGGGCTCCATCACCAACCCGCGTGACAAGTGGTGTCCTAAAAACCTCAGGCCATGGCCCGACTTCCTTGATCAACAGAAGCTCACCTTCGGTACACTCTACGATTCATTTCCTACCGAAAGCCGCGTTTTCGAGAACCGAAACTTCCTGGCCGGCTTGGGGAACAGGATCTCTCAACGACCGATAGCAGACGAGAAGACGCTCGAATATTTCCTACATAATAGCGTGGAAGATCCGGTTAGAGCCATCATACAACAGCTCAAACAGGTGGAAGAGGTCAGCAGGGCTTTTCAGATCGGAGATGGCGTCGTCTTTGAGAACCATCCCCATGCCCTCAGCGATGTGGCCGAAGAAGTCGTTGAGAGGGAGACCCCATCGACACCACCGCGGACGCCAGACCACCGAAGAGATCTCAACCAGTTGCGGCCGGATCAAATCTGCGTCTATCGATCCGACAACACCCTGTCTTCCCGGCGCACTATGGTTTACGTTTCCGAGTATAAGCCGCCGCACAAGTTGACCACTCCGCATCTTCGTCTCGGTCTCCGCGCCATGGACATCCACAGGGAAGTTGTGAACCGAAGGACGATCCCAACTTCTGTAGACCCTGATACGCGTTTCCAGTACCACGCGGAGAAGCTGACGGCATCTGCCATCACGCAGACATATCATTACATGATCGAAAGTGGCCTTGAATATGGTCTTCTTACTACTGGCGAGGCTATTGTGTTTCTCAAAGTTGACTGGGACGAACCTGAGACTCTGTACTATCATCTAGCAGAGCCTGGTCCGGAGGTGTCGGCACATCCAAACAACCTCCATATATGCACGGCTGTCGGTCAATATCTAGCGTTCACCCTCATCGCTCTCGGTTCGCCTGGAGAACGACGGGAGATTAGGCAGGAGGAACGTCTAAAAGCTATGAAGAACTTGAAGACGTGGGCTGAGGACTTCGAATCGACATTGCGTTCTATCCCAGAAAATGAACGATCGGCGTCATCAGACTACTCACCTGGTCATGAACCTACCACCTACAAGGATGTCGATCGGTCGCCGGCCTTGCCCCGCAAAAGGACACGTCGAACTGCTGTGTGCCAGATTGGCGAGGGGTCGTTGACGAAGGACGACAGGCAGGAACCATCTGATGACGAGTCGGCATCCAGGCCACCGGACACGCCTACGCCAACCGGACGAAACATAAGACAAGGAACTAGGCGGAGCCAGCGACTGGCGTTACGGCCGCGCGGAGGAGGCGGCGAGCAGGGTCGGCAGTACTGTACGCAGAAATGTCTTCTCGGGATGGCCAAGGGTGGTTTTCTTGACCCAAAGTGCCCGAACGTGGCACTTCACTGCAAGAGCTGCGCTCCCGCCCGCGCACGTCATCCTGTCAATCACGAGGAATGGCTTCGCCTACTCAGGAAGCAGCTGAAACAGTCTCTCGACGACGGGATCAGGCCTTTGGGGGAAGGTGGTGCGCGGGGTGTGCTTTTCCAAGTGACCCTACTTGCGCATGGCTACACCTTTGTCAGCAAGGGCACGGTGCGGGCTTTCATCAAAGATCTCGAGCACGAGGCTGCTGTCTACGAGCGTCTCAAACCAATCCAAGGCGTCCACGTGCCTGTTTTCCTGGGTGCGGTTGACCTTCGGTCGATGAACAAGACTTACTACTATGACCACCGGGTCTACGTGGTGCACATGTCATTTTTGTCCTGGGGAGGCTGCAGCATCGACAGAGCACAGAGAATTGGCGACATGGACAGGTCGCTCGAAGACGAGGCCATTCGGTCCTTGAGAGCCATGCATCGAGAGGGCGTGGTCCACAAAGATGTGAGGCTTGCAAACATGTTATTCAATCCTGAGACCAGCGGGGTTATGGTGATCGACTTTGAACGGGCTTTGCTACTCAACCCGCCTCGACGTCCGTTGGCGCAGCTGGTGCCGAACAAGCGAGCGTGGAAGTCGGAGACGATGGATGCCAAGAAGGTAATTGGTGATTCAAGCAAGCGAAGTCGGCCAAGTCAAAGCTTTTCAGAGGATATTTGGTTGGCAAAGACGGCGTTCTTAGAGTGGAATGCTGACCCATGGACACAAGTCGCGAGAGCGCCTTGCTAGTAAATCTACAGCCAATCACCCTACACTTCTATTTATAAATCGTCATGTATCCTAGACCAACTCTCTCCTGTAAAAATTTTCCTTGGCACCCGCTGTTAGCGCGCTGCTAGGGCAGAAAGGTTTTGCAGGCCAAAATGGCAGCAAAGACAGCTGTGGGCTTAGCGGGACCCTAACAGCTGCCTGAAGAAAGGGATTCAGAGAGTTGACCTTTCTTCGTGACATGTGTCTCCAACGACACTGAGCTCCGCGAGCTCTTGACATCGCCTTCGGGCACCATTTCCTTTGTGATATCTGCGGCTTCTTCCTACCTCGACATTACGGCTTCGCGAGCCTTCGACATTCCGGGCTCTGCGCCCCTTCGATTTCCCGCACAACCGACATCTGCAGCCTCGGCTGCCCAGACGACACTTGCGGCATTCTACCGCTCGACACTTGAGGGTCATCGCATCCTCACCCACATCCTCACCTGCAGCCCAACGCTGCCTCGACCGACCTTTGTGGCTTCGGCTGCCAAACAAGACCAGCAGCCGTCAGCTGCGCGACTTTCTGGGCCCTCAGTTGCCCCCAACTTCGACGCACGGGCCTCAAATGGCTCGCTGCCCTTTTCGTAGCTCAAACGCTGCATGACCGACCTCTGCAGTACGCATACTGCCCAGAGACCTCTTTCTTTCTGCAGCCTCGGCTGCTGCCCGGAACACAACCGGGCCTCGACGATATGTCTCACTGGATGAGACTACTAGACACAAACCGCTGGGTCAAAATGGTACAGAGCTTACCTGGAGACCGTGGAAGGGGGCAATTGCCTCGTCTACAGAGCAGCGTTCTGGCCACCTTGGGTTTTTCCCCTGCGAGGGGTTTCCCTAAGGATGCATAGTTCTAGGGTTACAGCTACTGGCGATCTTAGGGGTTATGGTTCTCCTGCCTTTGGGTATGGAAAGCTACTTGATCTATCTGTGCAAGAGAATTCTAGGCTGGAGAGGAATAGATCCCGCTGACGGGATGACCTCTTGAAAGTAATGCGCCTTCGTGCCGATGATATGCTGGATGAACTAGACGGAATCGCAGTTGCATGGGGATATGTCCTGAATCACCTGCTTTGACATCCAAGATGATGTGCTTGAACCTACCGTAGGGCTGGCTACGAGTAGGAAGGTGCCCTCGGGGGAAGGAGCTCGAGAGGCTCTCCGTTGATGCGAGTGGACATGGCGGGTATTCTAGGAGGAGTCCAGCGCGACAGCAATTGTAGATAGTTTAGCTCAGCACGTCCTGTGCTCCAGTAGGAGACTTTTCGGGGCCTTTGGCCCCCCGGACGAAAAATATACATAACATAACATAACATAATGTATCCTAGACTGTCGTTTGCCCCTGCCCACTCTTACGTGAATGTTTATCAAGGGAGATGGTATCGCATTGAGCTTGCTTAAAGAATTAAAGTGAATGTGATGAGCAGTAGCAAATGTGTTGATTGATTGCTATTGGTTGTTGTTGTTGTTGTTGTTTTTCGTGAAAGGTATTCCATTCCGCAGAGTTACTTACAGTATACAGCTAGATTACTAAAGCAGGTGTTTCCTAAGGCTGTGAAAAAAATGCCTGCGGCAGATGGTCTGTGCCACGCTACCCATTGCGTCGCGGGTCGTTTGGGAAACCCCGCATCGCACCACCATCTTTACAGCAGCTGCTTGAGTCTGACCTTGACGACACGTCTTTCGAATGTATGTATGTCTGGAACCGCAACTAAGTACCCTACGAAGATGGCTCGCTATCGACTCAGTGAGTTTCCAAAGTCATAACCTGAAAATGGACATCCAAACTTACGTTATAAAAGCACAACGGGCTCGCTCACGACGCTCAGAGCATAGAATAACCAAACAGCGCAGTCGTCGACTGCAGTTGAAGAACGAGCGATGTGTAGTTGGAACTCTGAAGACTTCAAGCCAATCAATATCTGCAGGCGATCCCGGCGGACGTGTGTACCTGCACTTTGTGAATAAAGACCAATACTCTCTCCAGGATAGTGACGGGAGCAACGTCCGTTGGGAGAACGTCATTTTCAAGAAAGGATTTGATGCTCAGGATATTGACAAACTGGCGGAAGAGGTGGTTGGAAAGATCCTGCGCCAGTTAGAGAGGCAGTATTCTGTAGGCGAAATCTAAGTTGGTCGGGTTCTTAATCAGTTCCGGTCGACTCCACATTGAAACCTGTTGTTCCAGGCCCTTTCATCATACACGCTTTATGCAAATCTGCACATCAAACTGGAAGCACCATATCATTCCAGTGTGTAGGAGATGTCTATCAACATGGATGAAGTCGATGACAGGTCGCCATCGAAAGTCCGCAAAGCCGTAGGCTGATCTGTTCCGAAGTGTAAACGCGAGAATATGGAGAGCATGGTGGTAAGCTCTTATTGTTTCCCTAGCGCCAATAGCATATTCGTACTTCACTATGTAAGCGTGAAAAACCTATAGTTCGATAGATGAAAATCTAATGTACTCGCTCAACAAGACATCATATCGGCATCTTCAGCGTTGCCTCTGGGTCCGTTACAATTCCCCAGCTTCCTCCTCTCCATGAACTTGGGAGAGTAGCCAGTACCAGCGGCTGCGTTGAGCCAATCCTTGACTGACAAGGAAGTTTAAGCCAAAGTTTTCCGATGCTTTTTGACTCCAGCTGAGGTTTTTGAGAGACGTAATAGATGATTGTTGTTATCTTTAGGTCGCGTCTGACGCCTAGCTGCATAGATTTCGAAGAGCATTTTTGATGGTAGGTCATCTTGTCTTTCCGTAAGGCCGATGGGAATCGACGTGCAAGATAATGGGCCGCCAATGCTAGTACGGAGTTCGAATGGGCTTCCGGACTTGAGGCCAAAGCTGGCTCCTCCAGACATGTTTGTGTTGTGTTGCTCGCGCAGTCTCAGAATTTCACCCTTCAAGGAGGCCACCTCTTCTTCACATCTTTCAAGGCTGGCCAAATGCTTCCATTCACGAAGCCGAGCCATTCTTTCGGTCGTCCTTCTAATCCAGTTTTCCTTCTTCGTCACTTGATCGCATACTTTGCAGTTTTTGGCTTCGTCTTGCCGCTCATATACAAGCTTCAATCCGCAGGTCTCTCCGATGCGGTGCTCTTTGTTGCATTGTTCGCGAAACTTGCCCCACCTCCAGTTGCCGCAAGCCCAAACAACCTGGTCGAAGTAACACATCGTGAAAAACTGAGTGAGGTAAAGTGAAACAGAAAAAGATTTTGGCCCGGAATGGGCGTTTTTTTGGGCCTGGCTGCTGGGGCTCTTTGCTTATCTACTCAACCTAAAAGCTATTGATTAGGACCTTTCGAAATTTCATGGCGACTCTGTTTCAGTGGGCGCGAAATTCAATTGCGCGCTCTTTAGTTGATCAACAAGGGATGCTGTTAGTTACTGGCTACCTGTCGTATGAGAAATCACACAAGACCCACTAATCACCAACAATGTCTTCGCCAACCGACGACGAGCAGGGGAGAACCAACAGAACGTAGTAGTAGCAGCATCGTCGTACGTAATCGTTGGGTCGAACAAAGGGAAACTGTGCCCCCCGCTCTTATCAGGGCGGTGCCTTCTTGCAAGAACCAACAGACCCGAGAGATCTAAGCCACAACTACCTGAAACATTGCTCAATCCTGAAAGACATCTATTCAATTATCAATATCAATAACTAAAGCACGGGGATCCTCAGATGTGCTCGAAGCAACATGCGGGCGAGTATTCGTGACAAGAATTAGCATTTAGAGCTACGATAAGGTCACCCACACCTACCTTCTAAAAGCGGTTGTGTCGGTGGGTTTGTTTGAGCGCTAACGAGGGGGCCGTGGGTCCGGGCTGCCGGGGAGAAGTTCCGAGTCACAGCCTGGACGTTGGACAGGTCATGGGCTAGTCGCTGGGGCCTTGCATCCTCTCTTTCCTCCATGGTTTAGCGAATGGCTCTCGTTATTGGCAAGGCGCGCTTATCGAGTAAGTCATCCGAAGGGTCAGTGCGGTGCATTTCCGATATCATACGGCCCGAGGGAGACTTGTGCACCTACCCAAGCACATAGAGTGGAAATGCGTCGCACTTCCAGTTTGGGCGCGTTTAACAGAAACCCAAAATGCAGCGCGTTTCTTACACGAGAGCCCAACCTTTAGAGTTCATATTAGGTAAGTTGAGTAGCTTTACAGAAGCCGCAAACCGCTTGCCAAATGAGCCTTGGGGAACAAGATTTGGTATAGGGTAGTCACAGAGAAGAGTGGACTAAACTTTTCTGTATGACGCTTATCTACAGAAGCAGTTCGCAATTGCCGTCAGTGTCGGGGTAAGTTTGTCCGTTATATGACAATAATGCAGTCTACGAAGGGCAGAAGGATATGGTTTTTTTTTTTTTTTTTTGCGAACACAGAGAGAAAAGTAAAAATTTATTTAGAGCACACGGACTACGGGTGATCGCCCATTGCAATCTCAGCACGGCGGCTGGTTGAGACAAGTCGGCCGAGGGCCTCATATACCTCCCAGAAGTCTGGACATCTTTCCATGATTAATCCGCAAACCCAACAAAATAACATAGAGATTCCTTTTTCATCAGCCACTTTTTCAATCCAGTGTCATTGTAATTCGTCTTGAGCTCGGCCTCCCATTCGGAAAGGTCACGCTCCTCCCTTCGAACCCACACACCCCTCTCGAAGGCTCGCCTGGCCCAACTCTTACTCCCATTAACCTTTAGTCCTAATACACTGTCCTATCTGTTCGAGAAGCTTCAGTCACGGGAATTCAGCTGCCTTTCCAATTAGCAAGACTCTCACTGATGGCTCAATTAGCGGCAATCCCATCGCTGATAGCCTGGGCTGGAACGCGACTGTGAAATATGCTAAAGAAAGTAGGATGCAATACGCAAACGAGCATTAAAATGGCATTGATGCATATCAGCAGATTCCTCACGCTTTGGCCTACCCTTACGCCTTATTTATCCGCATCTTCTACTATCGTCGATTTTGGACGCATTTTGATTGTCATTTTTTGGCCAGCATTGAAATTTGACAAAGACGTTTACGGCCATTCCAGCCCTATCCCTATTTACATAACGGATATCTTCAAATCTCATTATAAATTTTCTTTTGTGCTCCAACCTCCCACATATTTTCATTATGAATTAAGCACTCGATTCCTAAATATCAGAGATCTATCATAACTGCTCGCCGTGGATAAATGCCGACACCGCCGGCCACCCTGGATCGACACACCGCATTCTGGCTTTCAAAACCGGCCCAACACAGAGCCTGATTCCTGTTCATTGCTTGAGCTGCCAAAAGACGCGAGGAGCCTTATCTGAACCGAAAAGAAGATGTCAGACATAATCTCGCAACTGCCAAACGAGATTCTACGAATCATTATGGAAAATGTTGGGTACTCCCCCAATTTATCTCCTTTTGTTAGTGCATCGTCAACGGTACTAGCGGGACAGAAGGTTATCTAATAAGGTTCCACTGATACAGAACTTAGGTCACCTCGATCAGAGACCTTAAATCAGCGACTGAAGTCTCGAAAAGAATCCGGAGCGTTTGTCTACCAATTTTTTGGCAGTCCGTCGAGATTAGACCTAAAGGAATCTCACACTATACAGACCTCCCCGGCTTACCACTACTCTATCTGTCCCCGGTATCTTCGAAGTACATCAAACACCTGCATTTCCGAGAAAGACTAGGAGTCTGTTGGCGGTTTTATCAATGTCCTCATTCCAACGGACCCCGCAAGGCAGATCTGGTGGTATACGATTTGGATGACGATGACTTATACGATCTAGATGATGGCAATTCAGAGGATGACGAACTAGACTATCTCAATGGAGTAGATTGGGGCACGCACTCTCGAAATCTCGATTACCTCAGTTTTGCCAGCGGGATTGTTGTCAATGGACTCTCTCATAGACAACTCCGAAGCTTCAGGTGCGTCCGACAGAAACCCACCAATCCGAAGAGATATCCTAACGAACGTTCCTTAGTTGGGACTTAGGGACCTGCATCCCAGAAACAATCCTAGGGCCGAGCGGGATCATCACTTTGCGGCAGGATTCAGTCGAGAACATATCTCTCACGACCGATCGTCGTTGCTTCATCGATGACGACAGCACAATTACATGGTGCCCCCACGCTTACAATCAAGGATCTACCATCCATCTGGATAATTTCAAAAACCTTAAATCCTTTCGCTGGAGAGGCCCACGCTGCGAAGACATCGATACCCTATCCAGCGCCATTAAGAACAATCGGACAAACCTAGTACTACACACACACACACACACACACACAAGTCTATTACGCCCGGTAGGCCATTGCCCAAAGGGCTCTATGAGTTAAAAATACATACATCTCGCTAGTTGTTGCCTTGATCTCGCTAAGCCCATGTGGTTCTTGTCTTGTTCTTTCCAGCCTGGTCATCGCTTGTCTCCTTGGTCCCCGTAATTGTTAGTAATAGCAGGTCAACTTGAAGCCCAATTCCTCCAAGTGTTCAGTTTCCTATCTTCGGCGGCTGAAGCGGTGCCTGCTTCTGGTTGCACGGGGCAGTCGTTAGTAAGTATAAGTTTATGGCCGATAGGTTAGTAGTGATGTTGTTGTCATCTCTGTTCCAGGCGACCTGTGGCGATCGCGAAACGGATTGTGGCTCGTACTGCTTCCATGTTCGGTGTCCACTTTTGTCCGTCTGATGCAGCTTTGCCCCCTAAATGAAAGGAGAGGTTGCCGCGCTTTTCCTCTACACATTGAAGCATCATCTCCTTGCGCTGTGCCATCCATTTTACACATCGGAAGAGGAAATGCTCTACAGTCCAAAATCAACTCTAGTAGAGTTGATTTTATTGACCCACTTTAAACCTAGTAGGGTTGATTATTGCCAGGGTGTAGAGTTGATTTGACATTGTTCTACATATAGGAATAGTAGTGCTGATCAGAACAGGGGTTTGTCAGGGGTTTGCCACAGAACGCGACACGTCCTTTCGCGTAAAGTGCTATAGACAGTCTCGTTGTTGATCAAAGCACTATCATTATTCAGATCTTACTACTAGTCACCGAGTCACTATGACAGCTTCAAACTTGCAATCTGAACCATGCAGTGCAATTTATCCCTATGCTCTTCTGTCCACATACCGTCTTCTCTTGTGCCAGGTTTGTGCGATCGCCTCTGTAGCCGATGAGGTTGCTACGCATTTGAGAACACGACATCGCGATATACAGCCAGAGCGTCGTCAGGAGCTGGCAGTGAAGATAAAACAGATCCCGAATATTCTCCACAGTCGGGACGACCTACGTCACTATTTACAGTACCCAACGGATACAATTCAACCCATCCCGTATCTTGCGCCGCCAAAACCAGATGGTTTGAAATGTCGTGCTTGCGGCCATATTGTTCGTCGAGTCGAAAAGATACAAAAACATTGCGCTGAAAAGCATCAATGGATGAACCCACGAGGCAGGGGAAGACCAGCACCGAATTGCCACGTATCCGCTTACGAGCTACCATGGGAGGAACATGTCGCGTGTCAACGATTCTTTCCTTCTCGTGAAGGTAGCAAATGGTTCCAGGTCAACATACGGATAAAGGAACAGGCGAACAGACCAGGAGCAAAACCTAGTGCCAAGAAGCCACAAGGAACGCTCCAGGCCCTAACATCTGAGGCATCTATACATCTACAACAAGTCATAGAGCGGGACACTCAATATCGGGAAGCTTTGAGTCAGCAGCCACGAGCAACCGTAGATGACGCAGGCACCAATACATTCCCTGCTACAAGCCTGTGGCTAGACAGGACACAATGGCCGTCGATCTATCGAGGTTCCCGTCGAGATGTTCTGCGAGCGTTAACCAGATCACCTGACCGTCACTCCCTTGACGACGACTATATTCTGGGACAGGGCATCTTGGACAGTGCGCAGGACCTCATAAGTCCACGAAAGGATGAACAGAAGGTTTCATTCATTATGAAAGCACTTGGCTCTGTGATAAACCGTTGTGAGGATACGGTTTGCGCTACTAGTCGCAATTTTCTCTGCTGGCTGCTTAGCTCAAGACTCCAGAGCCGTCGGGAGTTTGGTTTCAAGCTTGTTGTAGAGAGGAGTAGCGAGATTAGATACCGAAGGACTCAGAAGCAATTCTTGGCTTTTGTCCTGCGAATCTACCGAATGCCGGATGACTCTCTTCGAGAAATGGTCAACGTGAAGATGAAGCCTGGCATTATTACCCAGTTAGATCGCATTTGGGAGCATAGCATTTGGAACTACTTTGACCTAGCGAAAGGGACTTGGCCAGTTATAGAGAGGCAGAGAAGTCCCCTGGCAGGAACATGCTCTAGTCTCATAGGCGGCCAATGTATTAGTAGTTCTCTTAATAATCGACCTTGTCAGGGGTCAGATGCGGAAAACGGCACCGAGGACAGCGAGACAGATGACGAGAATGTTGAGGCTTGGGAGCTTGATGATGACGAAGATGACGAGGATGGCGAGAGCGATTATGACGATTCTGGACATTACAACGACTTTGATGAGTATGCGGCTGGAACTCACCAGCATATATCCTCAGGGATATCAGGTGATTCTGCTGCATCTGCATTTGACCAATTCCTTGAACTTTTGTTTCAGCTTTGTGTTACGCTCAGCACCGAAAGTTATCTCGATGGGCAACCAAGCTTTACACTGCTCATATATTTCAGCGGCATCCTTGGATTTTCCTCAGACTGTCAGAGATTCCAACTCGCTGGACAGTACTGCTCAAAACTGTCAGCAATGATCTATATACGGCGTATATTATTCCTGGAGCGAGCATTGCCTCTACGCGAATATAGGGTCTATCGGTATCCCACAACGGCCAGACGCTGGGCAATTCGAGTGCTTTAATCAAATCCGAGCCAAGTATATGGTTCTGGGTTCACAATACCCATTGGCAGAGCTGATAAGCCTTCGAGATTTCGGACGCAACATTGCACGCACTGAACCACCATCTATGCTTTTCCACTGGAGCAACGATAGTGAGACGGTATCTCATGCCACCTTTAAATAATAATGAATAACTTCCGCAAACTCGCAAACCATTTTATTACACAGGCAGAAGCGCTGTGCGATTAGTTGATGTTTGGCGTACATCCACACGTCGACTTGTCAAAGATCAAAGACGATATCTCTAGTTCAGAAAGTGCTTACAGCTTTATTAGCTGCCCTACTCTTCTATTCCTAATTGTCGTGTACCCCTAATTGTCGCGTACCCCTGTCCATTTCTCAAGTACCCATCTATATCCGGTTTATTCCCTTTCAACCCATACTATGGTGACTGATTTGTCCCATTTCGGTCGACGATCTACACGCGCGTCACACGCGTGTGAACGCGTACTTTAGCTTTCATACGTTATCCTCTTTACTGTAATTTCAATCTGAGGTTTCTTTCCAACGCTCTTTACGAGCTCGTGTCATCGAATGGCTCGTAGAGTATAGCCGCCTTCCACAATGGAACTTGAAGATCTCTTTTACTACGATCCTTCTTGGCATATCATTGTTTGCAAACAGTGTAGCGTTGTACAGCAAACCAACATCGCCCAGCATGTCCGACAGCACCACAATGCGATGCGTGCCTTCAAGGTTGCTGCTATCAAGCTATTTGAGCGAAGTTTTGACCATCTACCTCTTATACGAGACGCCGATGAGATATTCAGGAGGGTGCGACCGCTGCCGACCGCCCATCCAATTCAGTTCCTTGGTATTTTCCACCATGGGATTTGCTGTCTCCTTTGTCAAGATGATCGAGACCGGTATGTCTGCCGAGGTCCCACAGCAATAGAAGATCATCTCAAAAAAGTTCATAAACAACCATTGCGCCAGCCGGGGCGCCGACGAAAGGGAGAGGTTGGAGGGATCAAGGGTTTGCCCAGGCCGGTCTGACTCCAGTCTCTTGTCAAACTCTTTTTCACGGCCTACGATGTAGGTACTTCATCGTCGAGGCCCGCAAAGTTCACGAGGACTTGGAGGAAAGCCCTTCTGGATTTGATGCAGGAAGTAACGCGACCAATATCAGCCCTGCCTTTGCCCAAACTGGACTCGAGGACATTATAAACCTTCAGCTTACCCGGCAAGAAAAGGAGGACTCAGCGATATCAAACCAGTCTGTTTTTGGCATAAACCTTCTTTCTTCCGACCCTAGACATCAATCCCAATGGCCTCGAGTCACAGAATGGCCCCGCTTCCTAAATCAACTCTACTAAAGCTGATTTTACCGACGGCGGTCAATAGGCGGACGGGTACCCGTCCTTCTAAAATTGGACGGGTCCCGTCCCTGTTTCCATATTTGGTATAGTTTTCTCCGCTGTCGGATCGTCGGTATCATCACCCTTACACTTGCAAGATCCAGTTCCAGATTCAACTACGCATCTGAGGTACGATGATCCACCACAGATACGTCCCGTCAAGAGATAATTGGTACAAGGCCCAGCCACCGAGAACCTCACTGGGTAACCGCCAGTATAGAAGAGCAATGGGCCTGCCTTTAGGAAATCCAAAAGCAATCTACAGCTGGTGTCTTGATTATAAGCAGATGGGGAGGTGCTGCGCAACCTCAACGAGCCTAAGAGAATGGACCAAAGAAGAGATGATGGCTTATTTAGACTGTGGCAAAGAAGAGACTAATCGCATCGAAGCAAAAGTAGCTCGAGAGACCGAGAACGGGCGGCTGTTCACAAGCAGAAGAGGCATGGGTGAGCTTTGGGAAATAGCCCAGCAGGATATCGATGAACAAGCCTTGTACTCGGGCCGTGGAAGAGGAAGAAAGCTGTATTTTGGTACAGCTCTAGCTCTAGTAGAATTGGAGTAATTCTGGAACTCAGATATGTCGTGGCTATTTCACCTCAAGCTAGTGGTTCATGGAAATAGCTGGTAAATGGGACTTGTTAAACTACCTGAGGCAGTGGAACGTAAAGGCGTAAGGTAGTCCGATAGCGGAGAAAACTATACCAAATATGGAAACAGGGACGGGACCCGTCCAATTTTAGAAGGACGGGTACCCGTCCGCCTATTGACCGCCTTTACCGACCCACTTTAAACCTAGTAGGGGTGATTATTGCCAGGGTGTAGAGTTGACTTTACATTACCATTCCCCACCACTTAAGGCACAGTACAAAAAATCACCGCTCCATACAAATCCTACCATTTTATTTGCACCGCATTTTGGCATAATGAAGCCATTCGAGAAAAAAAAACTGTAGTGTATTGTTTTTTACATGGTGTCTTATCCTGGGCCAATTTTCTTCTGACTTTGTGGATCATGGAGGTTTCAAGATATTGAAAAAGGTGCATTTCTCGCTTTCTCATCCTTCGACTCTCGTAAAGTTAACAAGACACTCTACGTAGTTTACGCGCGTAAAATATCTCCAGAATGGATCGCTATGTTTATACCGAAAAAGGCGTTATTGATGCTATATTCAATATTACTGAAGGTTCTCCATCACAATATCAGGCCTCCGATAAGTACGGGGTGCCTCAACCAGTCCTGTCCAGAAGACTTTCCAGTCAGAAGAGCAGGAAAGAGTCTACCACCCTCACCAACGTGTTTTTTCGAGTCAGGAGGGCCGTTTTGTTCGTTGGCTTCTGCGGCAGGAATCCTTGGGCTACGCTCTCACACATAGCCAACTTCGAAGCTGCGTCGAAGCCCTCTTCCGTCAACGGGGAGATAACAAGCCGTTGGGTAAAAACCGGACTACCAAGTTCATCAAGCGTCATTCAAAACTATCTACAAAGCTTGAAAAATGCCAGGAAGCTGCCAGATTTGACGGGTTTACCCCGAAGGCGGTCAATTGGTACTTCGATATCCGGGAGAACGAGTATGGCTGGACCAAGCCTGAGAATACGGTTAACGTGGACGAGGGAGGCATAATGGCGGGTGTCGGTAAGTCCTCTATTAGTTCCCTATGGGTTTTTGTACGCCATAACTAATTGGTTGTCCATAAGGCTTGGACAACCTCGTAATTAGGAGTTCCGACTCGAAGTAGAAGGCGTTATTAAAAGTCGTCCAGTCGCGCACCTGGACTTCGTTTATCGACGCTGTCACGACAACTGGCCGTGCTTTGAAACTGAGAATTATCTTTAAAGGAAAAGAGCTGCAGAAGCAGTGGTTCCTTTACGAGTTCGAATTAATAACGGACTGGCACTACGTCACATCCCTGAACGGCTGGACCGACAACACATAGCTCTCGAGTGGTTGAAGGACGTTTATATACCTCAAACGGAGCCTCGTGATGCATCGGATGCGAGACTTGACGTTCACGGGAACCATGCGCAGGTGAGACCTTTGGTGTTCCAACAGCAAAGACTCCCGCTATAAGATCGCTGACAAGCATCCAGGATGAATGGATGGCTACGTGCTTTCTGAACAACGTCTACTGTTGTTACCTATCAGCACATTGTTCCCATGGTTTACAACCCTTATACAATGGAATTTTTAATGTCATCAAAGGTGCGTATCGGAAAGAACTCCAAAAGCTGACTAGTTTGACCGCTTCTGCGCCGGTTGACAAAGTCAACTTTGTTCGGGCATACGCGAAAGCCAGGGAGGCGGCCATGAGGAAGGAGATTACCTTATCCGGCTGGAGATATACTGTAAATTCGCCTCTAAACCGTCACAAAGCTTTAATACATCCGGAAATTCAACCGGACAAAGAAAAACTGCAGGAACAGTTCCAGACGCCGAGCCCTCCTCCACTGCACTCAGATGATACGCCGAAAACGAGCCGGCAAGTGAGGGATATGGCCAAACACCGAAGTCGACCGACCAGGTGGAAGCACAGTAAGATCACAAAGGGCTTAGAAGCTTCAGAGATGAAGGTGGGCGTTCAGAATGAGCGGATTGCTGGCCTCGAAGAGCAGATGGCCCAGGTGCGGCGAGGTAGTAAAAGGAAGGCGGTACCGAACCCGAACCGACGATTCATGACTCTAGCAGAGACTCCGGCGGCTGGAGAAGCTCTTCCTGATTCAAAGGAGGCAGAAATAGAGGTGGATGTAGACGAGGAGGTCGAGTCGGTGATTGAGGTGGGTGTCGGATCAGAGGACGAAAGTGATGACTTTATGGTCGTAACAAAGCACTGGCAGCGCCACACGGAGCGATTGGGAGGTTAAAAACCACGCAGACAGTAAAATTTGAAAAGTTTTCTAGAAACTTTCTCCAAACCCTAATTTATTAATTGAGAATGGGACCTATTTTTGTAGACATCAAAATTTGGATGTTGTATGGGAGGAGCGAAACTTTGGTTATGCATTAGGTGGTCCTGGATGGTAATAGGTGGGAGTACCGGTACCTTGCTTTAGAAGGGAATTGCGCAGCTAAAAAAAAGTCCCTCTCCTTTCCGTCTTCATCTTGGCGTCTATCTACATTTTGTCTACATCGATAGATAGATTCCCCACCATGATTCTGTATCATGGTGAAGTGGTGGAGCTGTGTGAAGAACGTCATCTGGATTCCGCAATTCAAGGGTTCGAAGGATTTTCGTGGGTCCCTTTCTAGATTCAAAGAGAGCTTGTGATTATCCCCGGGGTGCGTCGTAGGACGCGACACATAAAGCGATAGAGCGTACTTGTGCTCGTCTTGGGCAGCAAATCAGGAGGCGCACCCCAGGCTCGACCCAGAGCCCAAGGGATGTCAAAAGCTCTGGATTCTGTATTTACCGCGCTGAACGAGAGGCTGTATTGTTTACCTGGCAACGACAGAGTTGCGTAGTCCCCGAGAAACATCAGAACTGGGAAGAACGTGGCCTGCTCTGGGGATTCAAATCTAGTTGAGAACAGTTGATGTGTTCGATTGGCGGCCAAGATTGTTCTCGCGTACTCTATCACAAGTTTCTTTCTTGTGGAGATGATTCTCAGACTACAGGCTTCAACCCCATGCTGTCGGTGTCATTTTGGAGACCAAGCACGGATGGTTTAGTGAAGAGTTGTTAAGGCGAAGAGCTTCATACCGCGCACGGACGAAAACCGTGTACGTCGTCAAACTACTGCTGGTAACTGGTACAGTAGATGTAGCTGGACTGCTCATGGGTCAAGTCTTAGGGGACCGTGTGCGAGCCTCATGGTTGATATGCTTCTTCGGGTTTCGGGCGGATCGACATCGCTTCAAGTTATAGTTTCCTTAACAATTTTGCATAGTGGAGGCCGCATGCATTGCACAACGTCCTCCCTCCATCAGGTCCGCGTCGCCATTCAGGGGTGTCGATTCGGTCGCAGCTATGGCATCCGCCAGGTGGAACCGCACGCTGCCAACGTTCACGTGAGCTTTGTCTTGTTTTCCTCGCGTGACGAGCCTTACCCTTCGTCCCTTCTTGACCTCCGTCATACCATACTGGGGCTTCATTGCATCTCTGTGCCTAGGCACGTCGTGCTCCTCTTCGTTGGGGCCGTTCAACTTGGCTCCTTCACAAGTTCGCTCGTTCTGAATTGATGTTTGCACCAAGTCTCTCACTTGTTCCAGAGAACGCTTAATGATGTCAATGTTGCTGAGCATGTCGCTAACTTCCTGTCCCGTCGGCAGTCTTTCGGGGATGAGGTGAGCTCCGTGCTGCTCATCGGCAATTCGGCTGTACGCTTCGACAAAGTTAAAAACCATGCGGGATGAGGACCCAATCTAATGATAGTCAGCATTAACGACCGTGCATACTCGCTTAGTTCGACTTACTCGGCTCAACGAATCTTGATAGCTCCAGTTCTCAAAGTATATCTTGACCGTAGCATCATATAGAGCTCGGGTAGCGTAATCGGCCTCTTCAGCGTGAGGAGGTGCCCTGGGATCACAAAGACCTGGGACATGAGGAGGAACCGCGTGCCTGGGATAGCTCATACAAGCGGGCAGAGGCATCTGGCGAGGAGATAGTTGGCCAGGTTGGTAGGCAGCTGGAGCCGGAGGCGGAAGTGCAAGGGTCGGAACCACTACATCCACTCCACTTTGGGACCAAGTAGAGTGGATGTGCGATTTTTAGGCAATTACATAGTGGATGTAGCACATATTCGACCGGGGTGGAATGGATGTACACACGTGGATTTATAAGTGGATTTATAGTGGATCTTTGAGGCTATTCACAACCTCCTCGGTGCCTATTCAGCCTCACTTTCAGAGGTTGACACTGACTCTTCAGCCTGTTGCTGCTGTGTTGAATCGTCAACCTCGCTGGCGCTGTCCTCGCCCTCCAATAGCCATTTTGACTCAGCAAGCGCCAGCTCGTCGTCGCTTAGAGTCCCACAACCGCCATCCAGCTTACTTTCAAGGTGCGACTTAAGCAATGGATCCAGGTCCTTGATAAGGCCAGCACGGTACCAAGAGCGTAAAACCTGACAAATGGCGATAATCTCAGCATCCAGGTTCGTACGCAACCCCGAGACCATCTTGCCAGCAGCTGAAAATAACCTCTCACACTCGGCTGACATCGGCTGGATCGTCAGGAAGTCCAAGGCCATCCTGGATAACCGAGGATATCTGCCTTGCTTAGTGATCCAGTAACCGATTGGATCACGAACGTTGCCGTCGCTGGCCTCACGATCCGTCTGCCACGCTTGGTACTCGTCGACAACAATAGCTGCTGCGTAGGGTGGTATTGAGCTTGGCAGACGACTGTTCTTCTCGAAGGGGTTGAAAAACCGAGGTCTTTTTGCCGGTGGCTCGTCGTCGCCTCTGCTGCTGCTGGTTCTAACCTCGAGATGAGCGTAATCGGACAGCCAGACGTCGGCAACCATCTCTTTTGCCTTTTCGACCCAACTAGGCTTATGAGCCCACGTTTCATCAAACCAGTCCCAACGATAAGCTGGATGCAGTGCCATAGCCATATAGTAGATGGGCGTCTCGTCCAGCCGCCGATAATATTCATCCAGCTTATCCCAAGCAAGGTTGATTCCAATGCGGAAGTGCTCTGGATCAGGAAAGTCAGCAGCAAGCTGCTTATATTCTTCCAGTGTGTTAAGCAGCAACTCATAGCCAAGCACCACGTCCCAGATATTGCCATAGGAGCCAGTCCAGCCTTGCTTACGCCTGCGGATATGTCCATCACCCTCAAGCGTCTTCACCACGGTCTCAAAAACAGTCAGAATAGCCTCCAAATGGTAAAGAACCTCCCAGTCTTTGTCTGTTAGCTGATTCTCGTCTCGGAGGATGCGTGGTTTTTTCGCCAACTTGGCTTGTGTCACTTGGCCAGTCTTTTTAGACCGATTTTCGTCCTCCCATTGCGCCTTATACTTGATCAGTAAGAGTTCGATAGAGGTTTTCAACCGTAGAGCCCTGCGGATCATGTAGAGTTGTGACAGCCAGCGCGTGTCGTTATCGATAATTAGCTTCAGTGGTTTCTTCGATCGGAGTTTAAGGGTGGTGGCGCGATTAATTTCGTCCTGTTAGATATACCGAATTAGTATGAGACGAATAGGACTTAGTAAAACCGCTTACCCTCTGGACCTCCTTGAATAAGTAAATCAGCCGATGGCTAATACGCACATCAACTACGATATTGTGCAACTTGCCAACTGGTCCTCTTTTGCGCCATCGAGCGTATTCAGTATCAGATAACGCTTCTGCGCGCCTGATAATTGCTGCTCGAACGCGTCGGCGTTTTTTCCAAATAAGAGCGCCTTGGCTGACAAGTTAATTGTGTGGCCAAAACAGCGTCCTCGGCGTAGCCGGCCATCGAACCCTAGTTCAGCACCAATGACCTCCATTGCAGTATCGTTGTTTTCAGCATTGTCGAGCGTGAAATAGCCAATCTTCTCTGGACTCACGCCAAGAGTGTGTAGGACGTCGAGAACCTCCCCACCGATCGTTGAGCCAAAGTGACGATGAGCCTCTGGAACCCCAATCATGATTTTGCATGGCCGATTCTTCTCGTCTCTGAAAAAACAAGCAATGCCGTATAGGGCAAGCTTATTTCGAGACGTCCAGCCATCAAATGAGATATGAAGCGCTCCAGGGGAGTCCCTCAACACCTCGATAACCTTCTGCTTGTGGCGGTTGTACTCTTGAATGATCTTATATCGGACAGCGGTGGCACTCAAGTTGGCGTGTTGGATCGAAACGGAGGGGTTCAAATAGCCGAAGATTTCTCGGAGGATGGGGTTCTCGGCGAAGGAAAAGGACTGGTTGCTGCTGACGATCAACTCGACTAGCATACGCTGAAAGTGTTGCTTATCAAAGCGTGAGATAAAGCTATTCGCGATATTCTGTTCCGTAGGCTTGTTGACGTCCAGTTTCAAAACAGAGGCAATAGTCGGCTGGTTCGATTTCAGTACGCATTCGGATTTCAGCTGTGCTGTGCTCTTTTTCTCTCCCTCTGGTGCTGGTGTTTTGTGTTCACGCCATAGATGATTTGCCGCGTTCTGGAGACCTGAAGAGGTAAAACTCGCGATAATGGGACGATTTCCGAGGATACAGTCCTTGCAAGCCCATTTGCGTAAGCCATGACGTTGAATATCGTAGCCAAAGTCCCACAGCCAAGAGCTAGTATCACGAGCGCGTTCTGACCAAGCCCAGCCTCTGAAATGGTGAAAAAGACGGTCTTCGAGGTGCTGCTGTTGGCCTGGCTGGGTGGCTGACATCGTCAAAAAAAAAAAAAAAAAAAGAAATTGGCAAAAACAACAGCAGGAAATCTTAGAAAACGCGCTCAATAGGGGTAGTGTCTCGTATAATGCTATAAGATTAGCTGTAGGGGTGATGGATCTCGGCTAACTTGGGTCCAGCTACCTCGATTTAATAGGCAATTATATACCAAAATAAGTACTATGAACCGTACAGGGTCAGGGAATATCCCACGGTACCTAAATCCACCTAAATCCACTCCACTACATCCACTTTCAGGTCCAAGTGTAGTGGATTATTACGTAATCTGAGCGCCGACGAGTGGATGTAATAGAGATGGACCACTTATATGTGGTCCACGTGGATTTGCAGTGTAGTGGGTTCGAGCCTTGCGGAAGTGGCGGAGGAGAATGCGCATACACTCCGCTGAGAGGATGCTGAAGCTCAGGAGGCTTCTGCTGCTCAGGATGGCGGTGTTGAGTAAGAATCTCTGGCTTAGCTGAGAACCTCTGGCGGCGGTCAGAAACAGGAGACGGTAGCGGCCGGTTGGTGAAAGGAGGCCCAGGGGTATGCGAGAAGGCGGGAAGAGTATCCTGTCGGGGAGGGAAAGGTGAAACCGTGTGCCGTGGCTGCAGATAGAAGTGCTTCTCGGCCTCGGGGGACGATCGAGAAGCGGGACCGAAAGGCGATGGAAGACTGAGCCCCAGCTGAAGGCTAGACGCAGGCTTTCTATCCATACTCCATACTCCATACGGCGCCTTATGGAATATGGAATATGGAATGCAACCCATATGGAACTTAATCCATACATATGGAAACTAAGAAATGACGTCATTTACATTATCAACTAAACCGAATCTGGGTTGGAGCTCTGCCAGCCAGCCGAATCATCTAACCCCTCTACGTTGTTGTCCTCAATACCTTCCGCCTCAAGTAAATCTACCGGATAACCTTGTGTTATCCCGCTTTTGATCCAACTCTTCATGCATTCGCCTCTTTCAATTGTACGACTACCCAATTGGCACCGGTCCCACGAAATTGTGCGTCGTGCCCCGGAGAAGACGCGCTCCGGCTCGGCAGACATGGCTGGTATCGAGAGAATATCAACAGCCATTCGAGAGAGACGAGGGTATGTCTGTTGTTGTTCTTCTCTGAGCCACCAAGATAGTGGAGAGCAGTCAATGATAATGGGCGGTTGCGTCGTGAAAGCATCGTACTCGTCCAGCTCACACATAGATGGGCTGACAACGTCAAGTTCCCGAGCGAGTAGGTCATACTCATCAAGGCGCCGTATTTCGTCTCTCAGCTGTGGTGTCGTAGTGGGGAGCGGGAGCTCGTGGTAGTAGTCTTTCCAATGCTTTCGCACGCCGTCAAGAACTGGTTTATGCCAGGACTTTGGCCAGTTCTTCTTTATATGGGCTACACGTCGTGACGGATGAAGTATTATTGCCGCACCGTACGCAGGGCTCTCATCTGTAAGCTGATAATACTTATCGAATACAGCCCAAGAAGCTGCAACGCAGCTCCGTAGTGTGACGTTGCCAGAGTGTTTCTGGAATGCTTGTGTATAATGGTTGTGAAGAACATCCATTGTAAAAAGTGAACGGTCTAGAGTGGCGTAACGACCCTCTGTAAGCTGAGTGATCTTCCAGAACGGTTGAAGGAATGCGCGCGTCTCCCCTAAAGCACTCCACTCATCAGGCGTGAGGTAGTCATCTCGCAAATCCTGGTAATACTTCTTCTGGTACCACTCAACATAGCTCTGAAGATTGAGAGTGGTGTCTAGCAGGAGAAACCATGAGTTCCACCGTGTATCGTTGTCGAGCCCCAGCGATCTTCCAGCGCGCTTCTTGAATTCATTCCATCGATAGTCGTTTTCGCGCATGTGAATCGATATGTTGTGCACCTTTCCAAGAGGCCCAAGCCGCCGCCATCCTTGCGCCCTTTGTGGTTTGATCCTTTCAGAAAAATCAGTGCCAAAAGCCGATTCATCGGTGTCTTCGATATGCTCCAAAACCGCTCGAGCAGCCTCTTTTGAGTATATGAAAAGGAAAGCCTGAACTGCCAGGTTCACTATATGGCCGTGGCACCGGATTCTACGGGTCTTGGCTTCCCAGTCGACGCCCTTCTCCTGGAGATAATTGGCGAGTAAGCGGCATAATTTGTCGTTTGATCCATGGTTATCACCAGTGTAGAATCCCACCTTATTCCAGATATTATAATCCTCGAGCACGTGCTGAAGAAGCTTCCATTGTTCGGCACCACCGTGACTACCCGGCCCGTCAAGACCTGGCAACTCCGACAAAGCTAATAGTGCCTGCAGCGCTTCCTTTGTATCCGGATCTACAAATTTGACGCATATCCCAAGGAAACCTTTGTGATTTGGAGCAGACCACACGTCAGCAGAGAGATGAAGTTTCCATGGTGTAGACTGCAATTTTCTTCTCAACATATCTTTGTGTACACAAAAGGAATTGGAGACAAGCTTCTGTATGGAGCCGTGAGAAAGGCTGATGAGGTCATCTGCCGCAGGATTGACTGCAGAAATGAGCGCATGGAGCTCTGGCCAAGAACTGCAGTTGTAAGAGAGATTACGGACAGTCACGAGCTGAATAAGTGCCTCCAACGCTGCTTTGTGATTGATGGCATGTCTCAGAGTTTCTTCTCGTTTTGCCAGTTGCTTTGCAGCATGCACCTCGCCGGCTTTGGCGAAAGCATCCTGAACAAGACGGTCACGCCGTTTTTTAATCGGATGTTCATGGGCTTCCAGCTCAATGCCGTGTATCTTGAGCAGATGATTCCGAAAGGTCGTTGAAACGGTCGTAGAGTAAGTCGGACTTACACAATGCATGCAGTAGTAAATCTTCTCATTTTTGCGACCGCAACGAGATGGCTCCGAATTGAGGGGCTCACGGGCGTGTGCCCAAGTATTTGCAGTCGTTTTGCGCTTTCGAGCCATGCGCTCTTGGACATCGCCACTTGAGAATTGATGGTTCGTGCTAAAGATTGAGGAAGAGCACAATTCGCTTGTGGACACTGGAAACCCCGCAGGGTCAGTAGAAGTGGACGTCATTAGCGAGGACATACACAGCGTCCCTATACAGTGATGTTAGAATTAGAGAAAGAGTGGAGAGTTGGAAAATCGCCCCTGAACGAGATTACTACAGGGATCAAATTTTTTCCGCGGTATTGCCATACTTATGGAATACGACATCCCCGTATGGAATATGGATTAACGTGTATGGATTATTCCATATGGATTAATTAATCCATACGCGTATGGATAGAAAGCCTGGCTAGACGGAGGTCTAGGAGGATAAGGGCCTGGTTTGGTTCCCTGAATGACCTCAGGGACCGGAGGAAGCAATTGGCGGTTCGAAGGTTCATGATCGTCGGCCGGCTTCCGGGATTCCACAAAAGAAATCATGTTGAGGGAGCTGGCACTCGATGAAGAATGGGGATAATTTGAGGAGAAAGATGGCTGAAATACGACGTCTCGAGAGGATCCCTTTGAGATAGGACGAGTGCTGTTGGTGACGCTAGTGCGAGTGGTACGGTTCGGGTAGTTGGTGGGGTTGTCCAGAGTCAGCAGAATGGCGGCTGTACGGACAAGGGGTTGTTAATATGGAAGGGACAGACATATACATGAGAGGAGGCAGTGTTGGAAGAATTGATGGTTCCCCCTGAACTTCAGGATTAAGGTTCAAGATTAAAATTAAAGTTTGATGTCCTAGAACTCAAATCATAGGATCTAGGACTCAAGGACTCAAGTCCTAGAAAGAATCAGTCGAAGATATAAGGCCTCAAAGGTCCTTCCGACTGCAAGGAGAGAATAATAACAATCAATTATCAACTGCGCTCAGCATCCATGCGTGATCCAACAACATAATCAGTCGTTCATTAACCGTTCATCATTCCAGAGGCTGAACGCCACATATCGAATGTCGCCAGGTCAGAGCTTTTAGCGGCATAAGTGTGATCATACTTACGTAGCAGGACATTGTACTTGCAGCACTCAGCCAGACCTGACACGTGAATTATCACTGATATGCAACTTGAATAGTAAATAATTGGTTAACGCAACAAGACACTGCCTATGTCCTAGACTGGGTTTGCCGATTGACAGATGGCTATGCACGAATTTATGACGGTGTGATGAGCTTGGTGTGAGTCTAACCTTGGCAGATGCAAATGCAACGTCGATGTCAGTTATGTATTGTACATAATGGGGCGTGCGATCGTTATAGCAGTGATACTCCAGTCGGACCCAGCATAAAGAGATTCCTGTGACTTAGAGCGGGGAAACAGCTCAACCAAGAATATATACGCATTCCATAAGACACATTAGCGAATCAGGGCTCATGATATCGACAAGCAGGCCACGAAGAGGGACTTGGGTTTATTAGAGAAGGGCTGGTATCATCCGCTTCCGCTCAATCTTCCCCCGGTCATATGCTATCTACTTGCAACTCACGCGAAACTCGATACCATTTTATTCCGGTTAACACGGCCCTAATAAGGCCATACCAACTTCATAACAACATTTAGTAACTTCATCACCATGGCAGTTATAGACTTAATCTACTCCCGCAATGACGCTCTCCACGTCAACCCTCAGGGCGGCCAATCTCACCTCTCCGAGGGAGGCTCTGACTGGCTCTGGGCTATTATGGCCTGCTTCAGCCTCGCCTTCGTTCGTCGACCCTGTGGATCCTTGCGCCGCAAAGTTTCTCGCTAACCACACGACCTACAGCTCGTCTACTATGCCCGTTGCTTCCGGCTGCCTTGGCTGTCCAATTGGGCACCAGTCTTCCTGAGCAGCAGCGCTGCCCTCAAATCAAACAAATCAAATCCGGGGTCATATTTCAGAAATTTGATAGTCCGCGATGCTGGATTTGTTGGCCGCTTGTTTGATTGGATTTGATTCATTGGGAGCGCTGCTGAACACAAGCCTAGCAGTCGGATCTTTCGAAACACTCGTATTGACGCGCGGAAGTAGCGATCTTACTTGTATAGATGAATGAGGGATCTGAAAGAGACTCTCTGATGCCTTTTTTGCGGGCGAAGTAGGCGTAACGGGGGGCGGGGGGTGGCGCGCCCCATTTCTTGTTTTGTTATGCATGGAGTAGACGAATCGTCATTATGCTGTTTTTTTACCGGTTAATCTGTAATCTTATGTCTCTGACTTTTGTCATAGCGCTCGGAGCTTCTCCGAACGACTCGATTAGCGCGTCTCGCCAGAGCTTTGGCTAGACACCTATACTATTTTATCGCCCTCGTATCCCCCTCATACACTCTATAAACACATGATTGACCTTCTATGAGCAAATAAAGGCTCTATAACCGAGGTTAGCATTACCACATGTTTGGGGGGGGGCCGTGGAATCTCAAAGGCTACTGGGGGAAGACTTATGCTAACTTTTTTTCCCCCTTTTTTTCCTTTTTTCCTTTTTTTCTTTTTTTTTTTTTTGTTAAAAGAAAAGACAGAGCATATGGAGCGTACAAACGCCATTCGCAGGTATACTACCTCCTATTCGTCATCATCGCCCTGCAGCCGTGCGAAGCTCACCCTGGCTTCAAGCGGTTATAATGTCGATATAGCGCAGCTGATCGCTAACCTGAAGGGTTCAGGAAGCTTGTTATTATTGGAGACAGTGCTTGTGGCAAGACAAGTTTGCTAAGCATGTTCACTCTTGGCAATTTTCCAGCAGTAAACCTTACCTTTCGTCCAAACATTTGATTTACCTAACTTATACAAAGCATTATGTGAAAACCATCACCGCATGATAACGACTGAGGTGCTAAGAACGAGCCAGGTTCCAACAGTTTTCGAGAATTATATAACTAATTGTATAGTGGATGGACAAGCTGTGGAGTTTGCTTTGTGGGACACAGCGGGGCTGGAAGACTAAGTCGCCCACCCTAGTTTTGGCCCACCCCTGGCTTTGGCCCGCTCTATTTAGCCTACATCGCACAACTGGTATATCGACGTAACTAGGTCGCAACAAAGTCAAATTAAATGGTAAAAATACAAGGAAAATCGCATTTGGCGCTCTTTAGTCGCTTTCTTCGTCTGCACTTGAATCTCGCTCCATATAGCATTTTGTTGGTCGCCGATTGCGTGCCGACCGTCGAGCCAGTGCCGGCTCCTCTTCCGACTCAGAGCTACTCTCCCCCTCCACGATAATGACCTCTTGTACCGCGTTTCTTGCCTTCCGAACACGTTGTTGAGGCTCTCGATTAGCTTGCGCAAGTATCTGCGCAAGGCTTGCAAAGCGTTCGTTCGGATCTTGGACGATCTTACGACGTTTAGTCGGTTTTGCCTGGGCGAGTTGCACCCGCAAGCGTTCGATCTCACGGTCCCTTAGTATAACCTCCATCGCAACCTTATCCAACGCCGCAGCGGCTTTTCGAATAGACAGTCGTGAAGTGGGAGAGCCGCTCTTCTCGGCAAATAGCTTTACGACGTCGCCGCCGCGTTTTGGTGTTGAAATATCCGAGGTGACACGTAGTGGTATAGCTGGCCGTTTAGCCACCACGACCCATCGACAATTTAGAGGTTTGGCTACGCTTTTAGGGTATAAGCCTGACGCCTTCCACCCAGATTGAACGTTTTCCTTTCGAAGACCAATTTCTCGAGCTTTCGCATAAAATTCGAGAAAGTTTGCCTTTCCAACCTTTGTCGCATCTGTCAAAGCCGTATGCTCCCCAATTAACCTACGATAGGCCGTTTTTAAACTGGAAAAGCAGCCGAGATCCAAGGGCTGGAGGACATGGGAAGTATGAGCAGGGAAAAAGAGTAAGTGAACGTTGTTTAGGTAACACATAGTCATAAATTCGTCCGAGGTATGACTGCCGTGACCGTCGACGATGAGTAGGCGACCATCGGCTGGATCCTCAGGTTGCGTTTGGGGTAAAAACACCTTCCCTAGCCACTCGACAGCAATATCATTGCTTGTCCACCCGTTTTCCGAAAAGGTAACATGCCAGCCAGGATGCTTAGCTAGGAAATCCTTCTTGAACCATTGTTCTTGGATACTTTTGGCCTTGAAGATGACCAGGGGGTTCAAAGCGACCCCGAGCGCCAAGATGCACTCCACAATAGACGTCCAAGTCCGGGCATTTATCGTTTTGACTGGTACCGTGTTAGGGTTCTCCTGCGAGGAGCCGATAACAAGCCCGTTAATGCCTTGGCCCTCCATAATGCCGCCCTTGTCGGCGTTGTACCTCCGCCGGGGAGGGATCCAGCTCACAGTCTCGTATAGGTTGAACAGGTGCCTGATATTATCCGGAGTGGCCGCATTTATACGTTTCCAGTCAGTTCGACGGCCTAATTTTGTCGTGACAGCCAAATGGCGCTCCACGAAGTGACTGGACCACTTCCTCCCTAGGGGCTTGTGGTCACCTTGTTGTTTAAGCACGCTGCTAGCGATTGCTCGCACTTGTGCGTGTGTTGGCGCGTAACCGAGGGCCTCCTGCCGCAAAATCCATTGCTTAAGATGTTTTTCTTGATTGGCCGTGAGCCGCTGTTGGTCGTCGTGTGCCGTACGTTGAGGTTGGGCACCATTAAGGCGGGCACGAAGTGTCCCTCTTGGTACACCATGGCGTGTGGCAGCGGTCCTAACGGCAACCCCATTCCTGACGTCCACGATGGCGTTTTGTAGGTCCTGCTCAGTATATTCACGCATTTCGAACCCGGAGAAGGAAATACAAAAGAAAGTAAGTCAATTGGAGAAAAATTCGATTTTTGACAATTTATCGTAGGTGGTAGCGCTGATCTGACGCGTGGGACGGAGCGCGTTTGTGGGGCGGACCAAAGCCAGGGGTGGGCCATAACTAGGGTGGGCGACTTATGCACGATTAAGACCACTTGCATACTCGAACGCAAATATCATTCTAATCGGTTTCTCTGTCGAAGACCTCTGCTCATTAAATAATGTCAAGTGCAAGGTTCGATATTCTTTACTCAACATCTCATATAAGCCAACTAATAAGCCTGCGTTTATAGTGGAGTAAGGAGGCTACTCGCCTATGTCCTGGCGTTCCAGTTGTTCTTGTTGGCTTGAAGAAGGACCTTCGGGAAGACCCAACTACGACCAGGAAGATAGGAGAGAGCTCCCTGCGATTTGCCACTGAACATGAGGGCGAGATAGTTGCTTACGAAATTGGCGCCAAAATGTATTTGGAGTGCTCGAGTTTAAGCGGTGAGGGTGTCGATACTGTGTTTGAAATAGCCAGCCGGATAGCTCTGTTAGCAGTCCAGAAAGTCACGGGAGAAGGCTGCTGTCCTATCCTGTGAAGGTACCCTCTAAATTCGGAGGCCAACGCTGAGGGCGAGAAGGTTTAGGGTGTTAGGTTTCAGCTTCATTGTAAGTAAGAAAATCTGTCACATCGTCTCAACAAGAGTCGGGCGACGAGGCCATGAATGGATTTCATTTGTGCTGATATAGTGTCTTGTGCACGAGACCACCATACGCCGAGACGGAAGGAAGGTATTAGTAGTAATGTGCTGGTCCTGATCCGTACCGGAATGGCAAGGTTAAATAACTTTCTGTACAGGATCGGTGCAGCAGAATCGAATACGTGTGTACGTGGTCAAGCAGCCGAGACAATTGGATATTTCCTGTTCAGGTGCACATAATGGAAAACGCAATGGTACGGCATGTTGAAATGCTCACAAAGAAAGATGGGCAACCTCTCGTTCTTTTTGGAAAACCCGGAAATCCCCTCCCCTTCAGGATTCAGACTGTTAGTCTGAAAGTCCTAAATTTAAAGTTCAAAGTCCTAGATGAAATCAACAAGAGATATAAACCCGAGAAGAGCTCTCATTTCAATAATTGAGAATCAAGTTCAATATAATATATTTTCACCCAGCACTACTGCGCAATATAAACAATACGTCCTTCTTGGGAGGCAAGGCAGCGCCTGACGGTGACAAATGGGCGCCAGATATGCAAGCAGTACGAGCGACGATCAAATTTGTCATTGCAACGGGGAGGCTCGACATAGCCCAGAAGCCTCAAGTACACTAATCATTCAGATCGAATCCTACTATCATCATACAATCTCATTTTGGCAGACTATGTTTCAGCTGCTGAGGATAGGATGCTGAATACTTGAAGAAATTGGCCTCCAAGCAGGCCTATCATGGCATGTGCATCAGTTAGGAGCCACTATAGGTAATGATTGCTACAGCAGGTGGATCATTCCGGTCCGACCCGGGTATAAATATCATGTTACAAAGCGTCGTCTAAGGTCAGGACGACGTAAGGGCATAATCATGCAAGGTAATCCTCTTAACACATAAAGCGGCCTCAGAGCCTCGAGGTCAATCACAGACTGGCAAGCCTGCTGCTTGGTAGCTGCATCGAAGGATCGTCAACTTCGATCTTCGGTCCATACGGATCACAAACCGCAGTGCCGTATGCCGGCAACTGGCCGATTGTCGTAACTTCGATCGGAGGGTCATTAGTAGACCACTGTTCCAGTTGAGCCTGAGCAGATTCCTGAGGGGGGTGATCAGCTGAAGGCACGTGAAGTGGCTGCGCTTGAGAGGCCACTGGCGGTTGGGACTGGCTCATAAGGTGCTGCATAGGATGCTGATATTGGACGATGGACTGTTGAGGGTCTGCCTGCACGTATTCCGGTTGGTTCCCGGGCAGATATGCGTAAAAGCATTCCTGAGCAATGGGACTAGAAACTGACGTAACGGAAAAGGTCCTGGGACTACTTTGAATCGAGGTTGCGATGGCTGAGGTCGAATACGGCAACTCTATAGGAGGTCTTTCCACTTGTCGAGGAAGCCGGTAATGATATTGTGCGGCGTTAGTCATCGTTACAGCACCCGGATTGCCCTGCTTGGTAACATAGTACACTTGACATGGCATAGTCGTGGTCCAACGGAGTGTTGGAGCACCGACATAATAGTTGGGCATAGGTTGGCCATGGAACTCTTGAGGCGCATTTAAGGGAATTCCCTGTCGATTGACATATTGCTGTGACATATGCTGGCCGTGAACTTGTTGCCCAAAATCGGCATACGAATTTGCGCGATGCAATGGGCCATGCGAAATTGCTTGCTCCATAGAAATAATATCACGAGGCGACCAGGTCATTGAGGAGTGCTGGGGGGTCAAAGGAGGCTCGTCGTCTTCTGAATCTGAGGAGCAATCGTGTAGGACTCCATCGGGATTCATTTCATACTGGTGCGATCTTCGTTGGTGCTCAACCATCGTAGCTTTTCTACAGAAGCTACATCATGTGTTAGTACTAGGGTAGACCAAGACATTCCTCATCTTACCTTTTAGAACAACCATCATAGGTACACTTGTACGGACGTTTACCCGTATGGACACGTCGATGACGGGCGAGACTTGAGGACTTTGAAACTTGATTAGCGTTCTATAGGCTTATAGACATCAGTCAAGATGTACATCAGAAAAACGCTTGCCGCAATTGCCATAATGGCATTGGTGCGGCTTTTCTCCAGTATGTGTTCGAATATGAACGGTCAAGGCACTTTTCTGGATGAAGTTTTTTCCGCATCCCGAGATCGAGCATGCGTAAGGCCGCTCATTCGTGTGGATTCGATAATGTCTTTGTAGATCACTCTTACGTTTGAAGCTCTATGTCAACTATTAGATCGCGACTAGAACTCTCAAGGTAAAGACGATGTACCTTTGTGCAGGATTGCCAATCACATTGGAATGGACGAGCGGTAGGCTTGTTCTGAACTAACTCCATGGCTTCTATGTTGACTTCTGGGTGGCCTCAACTGGATACTGAAAGGCAATATTGCTATGTTGCTGGTTATGGTTTAATCAAGTAACGCCAAACGCCACCACCATCTGTTCATAGGATACCAATAAGGAACTGGATGCTGAGTAATTCGAGGGCTCAGTAGAGAAGATTAGATTGAGGAGCCACCAGTATGTTGTTGGCTCAAGCCGGTAAAACGAAGTCAATGATTGGATAAGTGTTAAGACAAGGGGCGGCAGTCGATTTTGCAGATACTGGTCGAATTCTTGAACCAGAAGCGAGAATATTGAGCCTTAAGCTAAAAACTATGCGTCATGCGGATCGCATGTATGTAAAACCTTTAGTGCATTGTGTTCCCAGGACTATGCTCGATAGCGCTACCAGATATGCGAGTGGCAGCTAGAGGGTACGCGATGCGCAGAAACCGGCCTCTCGGCTTCGCAATGTGTGTTAATATCGGTATTGTCCAATTTTTAGTGGACTGTGACCCTGGAAGAATTCAAGGCGATTTGCGACGGCCAAGTTCTAATGGTCCCGGAGTGTAGCCGTACATGAATCGGTGTATACCATCGAAAAGGGGTCGATATCGGTCAAATAGTTCAATGACTAGGTCCAAGGAGCATGTAATGGAGCAGGGCCACGGGGAGGTAAAGAGGCAAGAGATCTACATTTTATAAGTGTGACCACAAGCGATGCATGAGAGCCTTGCGCTGTCACACATGTAGGAGGGTGCGTGAGGAGGGAGATCCAGGAATGTAAAGCAGGACTGCCGGCCAATACTGAGCTTAAGCTGACGCTGTGCCAGCTCTCACCCTCTTACCATTGGGGCGCGTGCTGGTGAGTCAAAGAAACGGAAGGGTCTAGCTAACCCACTGCACCTGAACTAACCCACTACCTCAGGCTTGTGCCGGGCCTGAAGCATCACATCATGCGTCATTCCGTCTCATTAACTTTCCCGTGTTGGTTGCAGTATGTATGACGTCACACTTGGAACAAGACTTGAAGATGGAGCGAAATCAGGTACCGGTACCGGCATCCAGAATAGCCTTTTGCAAATTCTTAGGATACAGACGGCACACCAAGCTGATCTAATACGGTATCAGATATGAACCGTGCTAGGGGGGGAAAGAAAACACTGAACACGAGATCTGCGATTTTGGTGGATTTTTCGTAAGCGAGCTCGCTGTATCCCCCCCAGGCCCTCGACACGGCAGCCCAACGAGCTGTATAGGCTATTGATCGTCTGCAGACATATATTGGACGCCATGACGGATCATGACATGGGATGCATGTATGTTTCGCCCGTAACAGGATGGAGCACGAAGCCACAAGTCCACTCTTGCACTGGTCCTCCGGAGCCTCGTCTCCCCACCAATTACAACTAACCCTGGTCTGTCCCCGTTCGATTGTGGCTTTGCCGTTCCAGACGGCGGCTCTGTTCCACCGTCTCCCGTTTGACTCCTATCTGAGCACAAACCCATGCCGCGCTGACTCTGCGGTAAACCAGATCTTCTAGGGCATAAGAACCACAACGCAGCTGGGGGTCTTGACGGGTCGAACACTTCTGCCTCTTCGTTACTTCCCTTGATAATTTCCCAACACCAGATGGCCCTGTGCCTTGGAATTTTACTGAGATTGGTTGGTTTATTATCATGGACCTTGGATATTGTGCTTTAGAACACCATAGGTCGCGATCCAAGGAGAGCATCCAAAGTTATCGCTGGTGCGCTGGCCCTCATTTGCTAATATCCTAAACCTCAGCCAACCGATATAGTGACAAATTTTCGATATGCATGTCGGCTGTGCCCGCATATGAGACAAATCATTCTGCGGATAGGCTGGCTTGCAGAGCTTGGCAGAAAATGGTTATTAGCAGGTAAAGATTAATACAGGAGGCTCATTCAATAAGCGAGTCCTCTATTTTGTGGCACTCAGCACTCAGTGATATCAGGTTTACCACTTAAAGTGTGACTTCTTATGTATACGGGAGTTATTCAGTCATGGGCAACGATGGATGTAGTAGAGGGTGTTCCAACTATAGATACCAGAGAAAAGCATGGAAATGTTATTATTTTCCGATTAACCCCTACAAAGCCGACTGACAGCCTTGCGAGCAGACCGTGAACCATGTAGCAAGGATTAACTTGGGCAACGGACACGAAATTAGATTAACCTACAAACCGGGAATAGCTCCGCCCCACTGGCAAGGTGCCGAGTCTTGGCAGCTGCTTGTTATGCAAGCATGCATGGCCCTAAAAGAAACTATTATTCAGTCTTACGCCATAAGTGAATCTCGAGGGAACCACGGCCGAGGAACTCTGTACTTTGGTGTTCAAAATATCATCCCGGTTTGCAGGCCGTCAAAGCGCAAGAATGGCTGCATGGTCTGCCGTTGAATTACGGAGTTATGTTGAACAGGTGCTGGGGTCTCACGTGCAAGCAGGGATATTTTAAGATTACAACCGAAATGGTAAAACCTCTAAGGGACAGAATTCAACAGGACACAACAAGGATATACCAATCTGGATCAATGGACCGCATACACGTAATGTCTGACAGGAGCGGCCTTATCTCCCCCTTTATTCAGCCTTTGGATGCAGCATGTTGCTTTTAGGCATGCAAGGACATCATGGAACAAGCGCAATTAAATCCGAGCCACAACATTTAAGGACTAGGTTCCACCCGCAGTCATCGCGGTGCGGGTGAGGATAAACCTTAATCAGGACGAGGCTGAAACACTTTGCAGACCTCTTTCCCAACATACATGGTCACATTGACATCGTGAAGCCGTTATATCCGGTCAACATTACCTAAAGTAGCGGAACGCATAGTCAGGGTGGGCTAGTGTCAGGACTGGGCTTGGCTATGGAGGCGTGATAGGTCCGTGCCCAAAGCCTCAACTGGTCTAACTAGTTATTGTGACAGTTGGGTTCCCAAGGTATTGATAACTGAGTCTGTACTAGGATTATGTTGGCAAGTTGCATATTGTAACGGTTGGGTTTTCAAACAGGTAAGCTAGTCCGTACTAGGTTTATGTTGGTAGATTTGTAGGGTGTACACTGAGCGTAGCGAAGTGTCACGTCTTATAATATTCAATAATGTGGGCAAGGCTTATTGAGGTAAAGAAGGTTTATTGATAGCTGGTGAGCTAGAGTCTAAGAAATGCTAATGAATGTGGTTTCTGCATACTGTCAGACATTACGTGTAACGTGGTTGATAAGCATGTGAGCTAATTTTATTTCCACCTTAAATCCGGTGTTTTAAACAATATTTAACAATCCAAATTAAGCCTAAAACAGCTAGCTTATAATTTTAATAGTTTAACGTGTTTGATAAGCAGAACTTATCGTGGGGTCGTTTTGCGGAGTAATTTCGGGAAATCGTATGTGATTACACAACTACCATCTGATAAGTGCCCGGCGCCGCGCACGCGAATATCTCGACGGTTAGGAGTCAAATCGATGCAATTCTAGGGCTGGAGGACTGCTATGCTCTGGCGGTCCGTTTGGTTCAAGAGCGACGCTGTATAGACGAGCGGGCGCTGAGATATTTGCGTGTGCAGCGGCTGGGGGGCCAGGCTTCACTGCAAGGACTACGACATAGCAATGCGCTGATCCTGCTGCTCCTTAATCTTCAAAAAAACAAAAAAAAAAAAAAAAGAGATGAATAAAAAAATACGCCTTCTAGATAGATAGATAGATACGGACTAGTTACCGCTATAAATATATAAAGATCCTACCTGACGGCCAGCTTACCGTCGACGAGGGGCGGTCCGCCTCCTCCCTAGCCGAGCCCAGCGCCCCCGATGGCCCTGGCCCCGAGTCGGCCTTGGTCCTGGGCCTGGGTCATCGGGCACGGGGGTCCCTACCTGTACCCGTATCCGGCCCTGGCCCTGGCCCCGCCGGCGGCGCTGTTTGAGCTCGTCGACGAGCCGGTTCAAGCTCCGGCCGGCGCGTAAGAGCTCTAGCTCTGCAACTGCCTCCTCGCTCTTGCCGGACGCCGTGCGGGCCAAGAGCTCGTCCCAGATCACCTTCCGGCGACAGAACTGCACCCTGATCCCGTTCCCCGGGCGCCAGCGGCTTCCCAACGTCTCTTCTAGCACCCGTACGGCCGGCTGACCTGCAATCCCTTCCTCCCATTCCTTCCAGACATCCCGCACTGTAAAGACCTTGGCCAGGGCTGCAACGACGGGCATACCTGGTACTGGAGGCTCTGGAGCCGGAGCCGGAGCCGTATTGAAGTTCAAGGTAGGGGCTGCCGACGGCGCCGGCGCCGGCGCCAGCGACACTGCTGGCCCGGCTCCAAAGTGGCCGGTAAAGGTGACAGGGACCTTGCCTTGGAGGAGGGCATCGAGGCCGCCCTGAATTCCTTCTAGCCGAGCCTCTAGCCGGATGGCCAGCCGCTGGCTATTCTGTAAGACGGCCTCGCGTGTGCTCTCTAACACACCGCTAAGCTCTGGCAGCGCGCGTTGTACGAGCAGGCTTAACGGCTCCGTAGCCCCTACCGCGTCAGAGCGAACGGCGACGGCGAACTCATCCCATTCGGGCCCGTTAAAAGGGGCGTAGGCGAAGAAGGGTAGCGACGGATAGCGAGGCTGCAATACAGCCAGGTCCTGTAATAGTACTATGCGCAGGCGCCGCATAAGCTTAAGGAAGCCGTCGGCGGCTAGGTCGTCGTCGTCGAGGCCACCTTCTGCCCAGCATTGCCGGCGCGCGCGAGCCTCAAAGCGAGGCTCCCACTCCTCGATCCACGGCCAGAGCTGCTTTTGTAAGACATACGGAGGCTCGTGGGCCGCACGCGCGAGGAAGTAGTCCCCGGGTGATGCCGAGAAGCCGGCGACAATACGCATGAACTGGCGCGGTAGATGCGTAAGATAGGCCTGGCAGAGCACGCTCTGGTTCCAGCGGCCGGCCTGCGAGATCTGTGCGAGCGACGTGCCGTAGGTCTCAGCGTCCTGGGCGCCTACCCTGCGCGGGAGGTGAGTCTTCTTTGACGCGACAAGGCCAGCGGCGCCGAAGATACGCCAGGTCTCTTGTAGCTGCGTCGGGTACGAGAGCTCCTGCTCGCGGTCCCGTCCGACAAGAACCTTGATCCGATACCAGTCCTGGCGGCGCCGGAAGGACGGGGACGGCTCGCCGGCGACGTGCCAGCGCCAGAAGAAGAGCTGTGCTAAGGCCCCTTGCGTACAGAACAAGGGGTCCTTGTGCCGGAGGGCACCCATGAACTCTTTCTTTGCCGTCTTGTTTAGCTTACCGTCTCGCAAAAGGGTAACGAGGCAGCCACAGGGGGTCGGGCCTTCTGAAGACGGATAGTCGAGTAGAGAC